GGCCTTGAATTTAAATTTAAGGCCCAATTAATAGTTGGGCTGAGGTTAGGCCCAACATCATTATGGAGGGGCGTTGTCCGTACTTAAATATTTATCTACTACCAGCAGTGCGTCATTGTGTCACGAATTGTACAAAGTGTACAAACGGTATACGACTGACAACCCAATTAAATACATAAATTATTTAATTCTCCGAAGACATATGATCTTATGTACAGCATCATCTGTCTTCTCCCTCTCCACCTTCTGCAGAAAACCCTCAGATACATGGCAACCCCTGCGTACTACAGATAACTCTGTATCTGCATTCCACCTGTGATAACTCTGTATCTGCATTCCACCCTGTCGTCCCCTTCAAATTAACCCAGAAGAGAGACCAGGAAGTCTCCGCCTCCTAGATATATGGAGGGTAGGAATAACACAATAGAAACCCAGATGCCTGGGGCCCATATTAGAAATAAAATCTCTGTTTAACTGGCGGGATTAATTGATATCCTCCAAGAGGAGTACCTGTCCAGTAACTAAGCTTAACGACCCTGCTTGGATGATAATTCTCTACATCACCCAGGGAGGACTGGTTCGATCGTACTGACGAAATTGACGTGTTCGTAGAGAATCCACCCAAGACGACCAACTCCTGAACGACCGCGTCTTTCGGTCTTCCAAGAACGCGTCTCATAGGTAATGCGCTGCGGTGCGACCTTCGTTCACTCAGCGAGATGTAGGTATTAATTTCTAAGGTAAACTTCCATTTAAACAAGATCTTGCCACTGTTCTTCTAATTAATAGGGATTTGATTACTGGATTTAATTGGTCTATTGGAAAGTTACATCTTCTTCACAACAACTTACATCTTCTCTTTTAGAAAAATACACTCCAACTGATTCCTCCCAACGTGACTTATAAAAGGAATATTCCCCTTTCTTAGAAGCAATCCCGCCTATTTATTAATGTGGAATAACCAACGTAATCTGTCTTTCCATTTGTAGGAGAGATAACAAACATATGGTAACATCGTCCTAATTGACTTTTTCCTCCACTGAGAGAACCCTTTAAATATGTGGGTCCACTCCCTCCGTGGGTTACAATATTTTAACTTACTACGGCTCCAAGTCTAATTTATATCCATGTGGACAACACGGTTGAATGATCAATCTGTTAAATACAATTCTTCTGTGACACACGGTTGTGTCATCTGTTAATCAGTCATTTTTTGGTTGAGAGCAGTGACTGCTGGTAATATTAACTCAGCAGTCACGTCAGGGCACCTCGTAGGACATCGTCCTACCTACAAACCCTCCAAGTTTGCACACCAAAAAATGAAGTTTACCCCATTGTACACTTTGTACAATTCGTGACACAATGACGCACTGCTGGTAGTAGAGAAAGACGCGGTCGTTCAGGAGTTGTCGTCTTGGGTGGATCTCTAAAAACACAGTCCATTGAGTCAAAATATTCTTGATTTCGTTTCGTCTCAAGGAATAAGAACGTGATAACATATTCTTGCATGTTTATTGTTTATTTGATTGATGGGGATTATCCCATAGGCTTGTTGCCGTACTTAATAAATTATCTCTCCTTGAAATATATTCTCCATTATTACTAATTTTCTATAAACAAAATTTTTATATGAAATGGGAATATTGCTCAATTTATTCCTCAATATATTCTCCATTATTACTGTCCGTGCAATGTGCAAATTGTATAATTTTCTATTTTTTAATTCAATTGAATTTAATTTTTGAGAAAATAATTATAATTTATATTTGTGTTGCTTTAATTTGAGATAAATAATAATTATAATTTATATTGGAATGTGTTGCTTTAATTTATAAATTATCTTCTTGAATTTGTATGAAATGATGAAAAGGTAAAATAATTTGGTATACTCTCATTTTTTGTGGAAAATTTTCTCGGGAGTAATGAATTTGTAGAATAATTTAATTAGTGACAATTAAATTATATAGAGAATAAGGTTTATTGTATATTCAACTTTAAATATAATATAATTAGTTATGATTTTTTTTAATTCATATATTTCTAATTATTAAATGAGATATAAGAATATTCAAGGTGTTTAATGAAATAAATTTTGTGATTTAAAATTAAAATATTTTAATTCTATTTTAGTTAATGTAATTATTTATTAATTTAATTAATTTTTTATAATGACTCTTTTTTTATTTTGTCACCAAATCATCTAGTTTTTATAATAGATAATAAGTAATTATATTATTTAATTAATTTTTATAATGACTCTTTTTTTTTTTGTCACCAATCATCAGTTTTATTAGATTAATAATAAAAAGGAAAAAAAAAAACTTATCAAAACCGAGCGAAATTAAACCAAAACTAGCAAGCTTTCCCAATACACCCAAAAATCTAATGCTCAAAATTGATTAAAAAAACCTATATATAGAGAAAACTAGTGAACTTCTTTTAAGATAATAGATGAAAACTAGAAGAGAGCGAATAGAAAGTAAAAATCAATATAAACCCAAACATCGCAACATAAATCCAAATATCATGTCAATTAAAACCAAGCCAAAAATGAGAAATCAACACCGACAACTTTCTTCGCCAGTGCATCTGCAAAATGATTTTGACTTCTTTGAACATGAACAAATTTTATTTCATTAATTTGCAAAACAATTTGTTTGAACTTATTGAACTTTTCCCACCACTTCCATGGTTTCTTATTTTTATGAAAAATCCAACATAAATCATTTCTAGAGTCAGATTCCACAATCAAAAGAAATGTTTTAAAATATAAATTCCAAAACAACTCAACGGCTGTGAAGATAGCAAGGAGTTCAGCATCAGCATCAGCATCATTAGAATTTAGCACCCCAGCTGACTGATAAAAAGTACAAACAACCTAAACAATACTGTTTATTAATAGCTTTATTATAACTTCATAAGTTTTTTTATATAATGAAAACTATTTAATAAAAAAATTTAATATTTATTAAATGCAAACAGATATTAATTATAATGAAATCCTTAACTAGATTTGTTACTTTATATTTTTGCCAAAATAAAATATAAAAGTGTAAAATAAGTATTGAACCTCTTGGAATTAGAAAGTGACAAAGAAAATCAGTTAAAGTTTAAAGTCAAATTTATATATTATGCGGATATAAATCATTGATATTAATATGCATCCTTTACAAGTGAAAAGTGAAGTTTCAATAAGGCTTGTGACAATTAAAAAAGAAGGGCGAGCGCCCATGCCAATCAGATAAGCAGGCATGGTAAATTTATTTGACTCGGTAAGTACCCGATCCAATTCGTTTCTATTATAGTGAATTCAAATAGGGAATAAATAAGTTTGAAATAGGTTCATGAAGTATTTTTACTATCAATAATATGTTCAGTTCTATATGAATTTAAAGACTTGGTATCCGTTACCTATTATCCGTTTAATAAATGTTCAGAAACTATTTAAAATAATTATTTTTTAAAAGAAAAATTATATATATACTCATTTTTATTATAATTAATGCTATAATTATATTTATTTTTTTAAAAGTTTAAAATAATTATTTTTTAAAAGAAAAATTATATATATACTCATTTTTATTATAATTAATGCTATAATTATATTTAATATTTTTATTATATCTTTTATTAAGTCAAAATAATAAATTTATAATTTTACTTTACTTTTTATTTTTGAAAAATGAAAATAAAAATATTTTTAATGCTAAGATATTTAAACGGGTAATTATAATTGGTAAGGGATAAGCACAGTTTGGATAATTTTCCAATCAAACTATAAATTATGGTTTATATATTTTTCAATCTAAATCAAACTATATAATCAATGAAATCAAATTAAACCAAATCGCAATGGTTGCATTTGACACTATTAAAATAATTTAGTAATTATTTTAATTATAATTAAACAACATATGATCAATTAAACCAACATAATGAATTCATAATATATAATATATATGTATATATATACATAAGTATAGCTAATATAATATAAACTAAAAAATTTCATGACGTGAAACAAAAAAGTTATCTAATTTATTGATAGAGCATAAATTGTAACAGTATTTTAAAATATCAAATTTCTGCAATTAATTTTATAAAAATAATAAAGATTATAATGTAAGTAAATTAATGTCATAAGTCGACAAAATATAATATAATAAAAAATTTCATGACTAACAAAAAAGTACTAATTTATTTGATAACATAAATTGTAACATATAAAATATCAATTTCTGCAATTTAAATTTATAAAAATAATAAAATTATATGTAAGTAATTAATGTTCATGACCTACCAATAATAACTTATTCATAAAATAAATAAAGTTATTTCAATACAAGACAACATTAAAAATATAAGAAATGAAACCAAAAAAAAGTTGTCACGTTCACGGAATGTATTTCCAAGGTGAATTTATTTTGTTAAGGTAAAATAAACTACATGTTTGGAATTTGTTATTGACAGAGTTTGATTCCGTTTTAAATTGTATAATTAAATAAAAATCGAACCAAACTGTTTTAAAAGCGGTTTATTAAATTACTACAAACCAATTCAACCGTTTAAAATGATGAATCATTTAAAATTGAAGAATTGGTGCAGATTGGTTTGATTTTAAGGTTTAAACCATTTAATGCTTACTCCTGATAATTAGGCTTCGGACATATTCACATAAAATTCTAAATAGATTTAGATATTTAATTTATTATCAAGTTCGGATTCGGATACTGCATTTTAAGTGGGTACCGACCCCCAGCCATCCTTAAATTAGCAGCCTCGGTCGCATTAACACGCTTGTCGTTCAAGTTTTTTGGTTTGTCTTCCACCCCAACCGAACGACCTGTAGTTTCTATATCCAAAAGGCGTTCTCTGATACCTTGTCCTTTCTTCCTACTTCCTTCGCTCGTCTCAAATTATTAATCATATCATGACCGTCGATCTTACACGTGGGAACAATCTTAAATTACGGATGAAGCTGTAATAACCTCAAATACAATCGTCCGTACACAATTCCTACCAAGCTTAAACCCTAAAATCAATTTATCAGTCCATCAAAAACCCTAGCTCTCTTCCCTCTCTCTCTCAAGTCCATTAAGAATTATCACTATCTACAAATCCCTATACTCAATTCTGTATCCAAAATAGAATAGTCTTAATGTCGTCGATGCAAATCAAGAAGAGTTACCGGAGCGTGCCGTCGTTGCAGCAATTCTACACCGGAGGACCGTTCGTGGTGGCATCTGATGGCTCCTTCATTGCCTGCGCTTGTGGAGAAGCCATTAAGATCGTGGATTCGGCCAATGCTTCAATAAGGGGCAGTATCGAAGGTGACACGGAGGCTGTCACGGCCCTGGCACTTGGTCCTGATGATAAATTGCTGTTTTCTGCCGGCCACAGCAGGCAAATTAGAGTATGGGATTTGACCACTATGAAATGTGTGCGCTCATGGAAGGTAAGCTTTAGTGGGAATTGAAGTTGGTCTTGTCAATGAAACTGCTAGAGATTGGGTAGAAACAAAGAAATATCAGTTGGATTTTTTTTTTTTAATGTTTAAAATCGTTATTATAAGTTGGGAAGAGGAAATTTTCCTTATTTTGAGCTAAAAATTGTAAGGATTAATTTGCGGTTAATTAAGTGGCAAAGTAGGAATAGATCATTCTGTGATTTTCATATTGGATAGGTTAATTGATGAAATGCCTGCAATATGTGAGTGAGGAAATGGAAGTTTTGATAATGACAAAAGTAAGTAAAATTAGACGCTTTGACATAAAGAGAACTGATATTTGAACAAATATGTACATTGAACAGGGGCACGATGGTCCCGTAATGGGAATGGCTTGCCATGGGTCTGGAGGATTACTTGCAACTGCAGGAGCTGATAGGAAAGTCCTTGTTTGGGATGTTGATGGTGGATTCTGCACTCATTACTTCAAAGGCCATAAAGGGGTTGTGACAAGTATCACGTTTCATCCTGATACAAACAGAATGCTTGTAAGTTTCAAAGCTTCAAGCTGAAAGGTTTCTTACACTCTTATTATGATTCTTACTATTCTATATTGGACTCATTACATTTTATCTTGCAAGTACTTTTTTTTGAATGAGCTTGTCAAAATGAATATTGATTTTGAAGTATACTATCAGGAGAAAGTAGTAGAACTTACAACTGGATTGTTTGGACACACAATCCTGAAATGGATTATGTACTAGAATCAGCTTGCGATAATATAAAAATTCCCTGCAATATCTTGCTAGAGAAGAAAGTGCTGAATACGCATTTATGAACAATTACATTGCGGAAATGAGATCTTGCTGAAAGAGTAAACCTGCTGAAAAGCTCAGCCATGAAGGCTTGTGAGAGAAATAAGAGAGTTAAGCTATTTTGGTTTGGATAACAGTAGCCAATACTTGTGCTTAGGGATGTGTTTCTTGAGGGAAAAAAGAGTGAAGAAACCAAGAAAATGTGGTAATTATAATTGATAATAAGATACTTAATATTCTTGGATGTATATATCTTCTGGCCAATCGATGCTCAATGGGTTAAGCCTAGGTATTTTGGTATCTTTCTATAGTTTTTCTCTACAAAATTGTTGATGATCCATTTTAGATTATCCATAAGATACTTTTTTGGTATCTTTCGATATTTTGTAATTATAATTGATGCTCAATAGGTTGGGCAGCTTGTATTAATTCCTGTTCAATTTGATTTGGTTGAATATATGAACTGTAGTAATTGCTCTTGTTAGGTCCCTTAAATATGATATAAACAGGGTGATTGTCTAGAACAAAGAGTTAATTTTTAGAGGTGCTGACAACATTCACTACACATTGCTGATAACTCCAGAAAATGATTGTGTTTTATTGAACTGCTAGTTGTATTGATCCCCTTTTCTCGGTCATTTATTTATCTTTCAAGGTGTTTTTAATTTAATAGCTTTTCTCTGGAAGTGATGATACCACTGTACGAGTTTGGGATCTTCTAGCCAAGAAGTGCATAGCAACATTGGAAAAACATTTTTCAACAGTGACCTCTTTGGCAGTATCTGAAGATGGATGGACATTACTCAGTGTTGGAAGAGATAAGGTAACATTCTGGTTGATGCCATCCCAAAGATGTGGAATATACTTGTCAAAAGCTAAACATGCCTGCATCTTTCTCCTAATAAATTAATAATGGTGTGGAACAATTGTATAACAGATACTTTGATACAGAACTCAGATCTCTTCAAAATAAAAGAAGTCAAGTGAGTGGAGCTTGATCTGAGTGGATAAAAAAAAAAAAAATTAATCTTGCTCTAGTTTCATAATTTTGAATTAGGGAATTTCCCCCTAGTCTGCTGCAACTGGATACTACCAGTAGATGCCATTATTGGCATGGGGAAGTTGTTCTCTTAATATTGAGGTTTTAATGATTTTAGGTGGTGATCTTGTGGGACCTTCATGCCAATGTCTGCAAGAAGATGATTCCTGCTTATGAGATGCTGGAAGCGCTGTGTGTAATTCCTTCGCGGACTCAATTTTCCTCATTTCTGGGATCACACAATCAGCAGAGTGAGAAAAATAAAAATGAATCATCTGCAATTCATTTCATTACAGTCGGTGAACGTGGGATTGTACGGATATGGAATTCTGAACGGTAATACAAAGATTATTTCAAGTAATTTGTATGAAATCTATATTAGTAACAAGCATTGGAGATTGGTTGGCCTTGTTATTTATTCATATGTTTCACATTACTTGCTATCTTTAGACTTGAGTGAGTTCTTGACTTAAGTCCTATAATTTGTCTGTTTGACAGTGCAGTTTGCCTTTATGAACAAAAGTCTTCGGATGTTACTGTCATGTCAGACACTGATGAGGCAAAAAGAGGCTTCACAGCTGCTGCTATCCTTCCTTTAGATCAAGGATTGCTTTGTGTGACTGCTGATCAGCAATTTCTATTTTACTTACCAGTTGAACACCCTGAAGAGAAGTTCAAGTTAGCATTGCACAAAAGACTTATTGGGTATAATGAGGAGATTCTTGATATGAGGTTTTTGGGTGAGGAGGAAAATTTTCTTGCTGTTGCTACAAATCTTGAACAGGTAGCATGTTTGGCGATTTCTTTAACCTAATTCCCTAAATCATTTTATGTGCTGATTTATTGAGGAAAAGGCTATATCTGGAAGAAGTCAACTTAAATTGTATCTAACCAGAATGATATGGAGAATACTCAAATTGATCCACGAGACATGCTATAAATTTTTGAATTTCTTTCTCAAGTTGTGATTCCTAATATCTGGAAGAAGTCAACTTAAATTGTATCTAACCAGAATGATATGGAGAATACTCAAATTGATCCACGAGACATGCTATAAATTTTTGAATTTCTTTCTCAAGTTGTGATTAGGAAAATTTTCTTGCTGTTGCTGGACAAATCATGAACCAGAGTAGCATGTTTGGGCGAATTCCTTTAAACCTAATTTCCCGTAATCAATTTTAATGTGCTGATTTATTATTGAGAAAAAGGCCCTATAGTCTGGAAAGAAGTCAACTTAAATTGTATCTAAACCAAGAATAATAGGGAGAATACTGCCAATTGAGAAATCCACGAGTCAACTTAAATTGTATCTAACCAGAATGATTTGGAGAATACTCAAATAGATCCACAAGAGATGCTATAGATTTTTGAATTTCTTTCTCAAGTTGTGATTCCTAATATCTGGAAGAAGTCAACTTAAATTGTATCTAACCAGAATGATTTGGAGAATACTCAAATAGATCCACAAGAGATGCTATAGATTTTTGAATTTCTTTCTCAAGTTGTGATTCCTAATATATGTCTCAATTTTTGCAATGCAGATTCGAGTATATGACCTGGATTCTATGTCGTGCTCCTATGTTTTGGCGGGTCATTCTGAAATTGTATTGTGCCTCGACACTTGTGTGTCAAAATCTGGAAGGACGCTTATAGTAACAGGAAGTAAGGACAATACTGTAAGTTTCCAGTCCTTTTTTCTGTTGATAATGTGGATGGAAACAGCCCACCTGCAATTTTTTTTTTTTTTTTTTTTTTTTTTTTTTTTTTCTTTTTTTTTTATTTTTTTTTATAATTGCCTTTGAGAAAAGGCTGCTATAATGGTGCTAATTTTGATTGAGCTGTTTTTTCGCCTAACAGTATAGAAGCTTTTTTGCAACTCTTATCTGTTTTATTCTGTAAGTTTTTTTTTTTTTTTTTTTTTTTTTTTTTTTTTTATAATGCTTTGAGAAAAGTGCTATAATGGGCTAATTTTGATTGAGCTGTTTCCTAACAGTATACTTTTGCAACTCTTATCTGTTTATTCTGTAAGTTTTGGTGAAATTGGTTCCCATCTCTGATTCTGTTGTCAATATAGGTAAGGTTGTGGGATTCAGAAAGCAGAAATTGCATTGGTGTTGGCACAGGTCACATGGGAGGTGTTGGAGCTGTTGCATTTTCAAAGAAGTGGAAGAATTTCTTTGTTAGTGGTAGCAGGTGAACACTTTTCCTATCAACTGCATTTACCAGTTAACCCTGTAGTATTTTTGCATAATGCTTCTCAGGAGCAATATCGGGAACTTAGAAACCAGTTGTTTAGAAAGTTATGATCATAGATTTAAGTCACAAATAATTCAAATGATGCCATTGTTGCAGACACAATGGTTGAAACCGGCTGCTTTGCGTTTGTCTAACTTTGTGAAAGTTGCAATATGCAACAACTGAATATAGATCCAAGGAGTTGACTGAAATTTCTATTGAAAAAAAGAGTTAATGAAAATTAAGATATTCACTAACTAAAATGCATATATACATCAAAGGAAGATGCTGAATCCACGTATGCATTGTATTCATTATTATCAATCAACTTTTGGTTACCAGCACAAAAGAATTTGAAGATTGAAGACCTGACCTATTACTACTAAATAGAGTAGGGGAATATTGAGGAAAAAGAAACCTAGATCTGCCAGTAAGAAGAAGAAGAAGAAAAAAAAAAGATGCTTTTCATGCATGTAACAAACATTTACCCAATCAAAAAAAGCCTGTACACATAGGCAGTAATTTAATAATAGCTATTTTTTGAATTTGAAGCCATGGTTTTGATTACCTATGTTTGTGTAAACCAATGATCACTGTTTCATTCATGCATGAGACTGTTAGCCTTTCTTTTGAAATTAGCTTTTGCTTTATGGGATCAAAATTAGTGTTTAGTTTTAAACATTGGGTATTCTGTTTCTCATCCCCACTCTAAATGTTTCTTTCATGAAACATGAAGCTTTATAATTTGCTTCATGTGAATGCTACTTTTTTTAATTTGTATGGTGTGTGAATATAACACTGCTTTGGGATTAAAAATTAGAGCATACTTATGTCTCTCTGTCTCTGTCCCTCTTAGTCTCTCTTTCTAATTCTTCTAAAACCTTTTTTTTCCTATCTGATTTTTTCTTGGATAAAATATTTCGAGAATAACTTATATTCATCCTTTTGCAGTGATCATACTATCAAGGTATGGAGTTTGGATGGTGTCTCAGACGATGTGGATCATCTCGTTAATTTGAAAGCAAAAGCAGTTGTAGCAGCTCATGACAAGGACATAAATTCTCTGGCTGTTGCACCAAATGATAGTTTGGTTTGTAGTGGTTCACAGGTCCGTAGCACATACAATCACTGCTCGTGGCTCTCTAGTTTTTCTTTTTTCGTTAATTTATAAATATGATTTGTTTGTTCATTCAGGACCGGACTGCTTGTGTATGGAGGCTTCCAGATCTCGTATTTGTTGTTGCACTTAAAGGGCATAAAAGAGGAATTTGGTCTGTAGAGTTTTCACCAGTTGATCAATGTGTCATTACAGCATCTGGGGATAAAACCATAAAGATATGGGCAATAGCAGATGGGTCTTGCTTAAAAACATTTGAAGGGCACACATCAAGTGTATTAAGAGCATCATTTCTTACCCGAGGCACACAATTTATTTCATGTGGTAATGAATCTTGCTTTACCTTATTGGACTTTATTTGTATTTGCATTGTCTTTGCAATAATATTTAATTCACTTGATTATTTACTTCAGGTGCTGATGGTTTGGTAAAGCTATGGACTCTAAAAACAAATGAATGCATTGCCACATATGATCAACACGAGGACAAGGTGATAAGCCTTCTTTTACTAAATATTTTTCAAATATTAACCTGAGTATTTTTTATATTTGTTTGAATAGTTCTGAAATTTATCCTAGGTTTAACACTATCTACTTCTAAATGCGTAGTTGACTCTGAAACTTATCCTGTTTCATAGAGTAATGTCCTACTGTGAACTTTCTTCAACAGTGTACAACTAAAGGAACAGTAATTTGGTTCTCTTGAATGAATTTGATACCTTTGACTTTTCCTTAAAATTTTTTCTTTCTGGATTATAATAACGAATCTGAAATTAGCTGTGGGAGATGGATGAAAAGGGTGGGGGGCTTGGGGAAGTCTGGACATTATGCTAATTTGCCAGATAGTTGGTACCTATTGCTTAGATCCACTTTTCACCTCACTGCTTAATCAGAAATTAAGGAATAAGTGCACTGAATGATTTATATCATTGCACCTGCTAGCTTCCTCTAGATGGGTGTTTAAGAGAAATCATCAATAAGAAGTAAATGAATAAATACTAATGTTCTAATGTTCCCAGTTGGCAGATAAAGTAAAATAGGATGATGCAAATTGTTAAATCAAAACTTTTAGGCAAAGGCTGAATTCAGAAGTCTTTAACAATTGGATGGTTGTCTTGTCTGCTCATCTTAAACATGTAGATTCCCAATCCAAGGACTTTGCATGTACGTAAAAGTTTGAAATGATTTAAATTTTTTTATCACTTTTTATCAAAAGAAAATTGATGTTTTACATTTTTTAAAATGGATGTTTGAAGATCTTTTCTGTTTTTCTTGCACAATGAATTCATAGAGTTGGTCTTTAAACTATTGAATACTTTTGTTGTGCTCTTTATTGCTTATGTAATTTTTGTTTGCAGGTTTGGGCCCTAGCTGTTGGGAAAAAGACAGAAATGTTTGCAACAGGTGGCGGGGATGCGGTTGTCAATCTGTGGTATGACTCAACTGCTTCTGATAAAGAGGAAGCTTTCCGTAAAGAGGTGATGATCTTCAAATCTGTTGGTGCCTACTGCCTTGTCTTATATTGCCTGTAGCCATTAATAATAAACTGTTAGCCTATATTTTTTCGTCAGCTTATCATTTTGCTTTGCCTCATTGGTTGAACAAGGAATTGATATGTTATTGATGTTGGATATCTCCCAAACAAGAGTTCTTTATTTTTGTTAATTATGTTTTCCATGTTCAGTTTATTAATAATACAATTTTGTTGGATATGGCTACCCTGTTAAATGTGCAGGAGGAAGGCGTTTTAAAAGGTCAAGAATTGGAAAATGCTGTGTTAGATGCTGATTACACTAAAGCTATCCAAATAGCATTTGAACTTCGCAGACCTCATAAACTTCTTGAGTTATTTGCTGATCTTTGCAGGTAAGAAAGGATATAACTCAAACATAGATGCATTTAGGGGTGAGCATTAGGTTCAGTTTAATCAGTTGGTTCAGTTAATTCAGTTCAGTTTGAAAAAGTACTGAAAATTTCAAACTTCAGTTTTTGCTTTGACAACTGAACTAACCGAATAAACCAACACGCAAAGAGGTTAACTTTAGTTGTTTGTGTGACTGTTTTCCTGAAGTAATTAATTTTTTTTTACCTTGTTTGGATAGAGAGGTTAAAAGAAATGATAGGGGAGTTCTTTTGTTGTGAATATAAATTATCTGTAATTGATTGAATTCTCTAGCGTAATTTGGTCTATATTATAAATTGGCCTGCTATTATAAGTTAAGTTAAAATTTTATTGTAATTACAAAAAGATGATTTGTTACAACCTTTTCAATTAAGTAATTCGGTTGGGTTTGAAAATTTGCCCAAAACCAAATGTCCTGCAGGAAGAGGGAAGCTGACTATCAAGTAGAGAAAGCTCTTCATGCGCTTGGCAAGGAAGAACTTCATCTACTCTTTGAGTATGTTCGTGAATGGAATACAAAACCAAAGCTTTGTCATGTTGCACAATATATTCTCTTTCGAGTTTTCAACATTCTTCCTCCAACTGAGATTCTCGAGGTGATTGGCTATAGCTTACCTTTGTTCCTATTAGTCAAGGTCATATCATAAAAAGCATTCTGAGGAATTGCTTGGGTTGACCATTGACATGGTCTTCAGTTTGACCTGAACAATCTACATTAACTACAATTGTGCATGTTGTGTATATCTTTTGATGTTATTCTTTCAGATAAGAGGGATTGGAGAACTTCTTGAAGGTCTTATCCCATATTCTCAGAGGCACTTCAGCAGGATAGACCGACTTGTAAGAAGCACATTTTTGGTGGACTATACTCTGAACGGAATGTCAGTTATCGAGCCAAATGCTCAAACTGCTGAACCAAAGGACAGTTCTTATGCATCCAAGAATGTAAATGATAATAACAGCATGCTTTTAGATGAACAAGCCGAGGAAGAGCAACAGCAGACTCCTGAAGTGTCAAAAGAGAAGAATAATTCCAAGAAACGGAAATCAAAGAAAGGTAGAGATGGCTCACATAAGAAAGTGAAGGGTTCAGCTTACACAAGTATAGCCGCAATTCCATTACAGCCATAGGACAGTTCTGGACAAGTGTGCTCTTACTGTTACATTGCAATTTTGACCATGTAAATTTCTAGAAATTTGGAGAGTATTCTCTGAATAGCTCAATCCTTCAGTTTTTTTTCAATCTGTTTGTAACATAACATTGTATGCTGATTTTTGTTCGTATGATAGAGGTTGAATAGCATTTATTTTTTCTTTTGAAAAAAGAAAAAATTTATTTAACAGTCTAACCTAAACCTAATTTACTCCTACCTAGCGCTCAGTTCCAATTTTAGGAAACAAATGCCTTATCTCGGTTGCTCATCAAAGAAGTCTCTAATCCCCTAGCTCCACAAAATCTCTATTGTCAAATTCAAAAACTTCTTAATTTAAAATCAGGCATCTTTTCTCCTTTCTACGTAATCTCTTGCCCCAATCTCCTCTCACATTTTTCAAATCTTAATTTTCTCCTTCTCATCCTCCGCCTCCTTTGAGCTTATTTGTGGCATCCCCAACACTATTTTCCTTATCACCACTTGCACTTCTCAATTACAACATTCTCACTCTCTCAAGTCTCAACAATGCAAATCTTCTAATTTAGATATTCTAAAAGCAAGGATGAGCGGTCTAAAGAATAACCACGTGGATGTAGGGTGGTCACGGTTCTGAAACCGAATCGGAAATTGACGATTCCGGTTACAGTTTGGAACCGAATGGTTACAGTTGTAGGTCCGGTTCCTTAACAGTTCTAAAACCGATGGTTCCATCCGGTTCTCTAACCGGTTTTCCAGCGAATCGCATAATTGTAAAATTAAAAAGTAGAGAACATTTTTCTTCAAAATTTAAAATTTAAAAATTTGTGAAATAATTTGTAAAAAAAAAAAAAAAAAAAATTACCCCTTAAAAAAATTAAAAAATGCTTGAACTTAATTTTTTTTTTAAGAAAAAAAGTCTTCAACTTAATTTATTTTTTGTTTAAAAAAGTTGCAACTTATTATTATTATTTTTTTAAAAGGGCTTGAACTTAATTTTTTTTTCAAAATTAAGTTGCCTATGTATCCTATTGGGGTTTAGAGAAATCAAAGCTCACGTAATTTTTATTTACCTTAAAACTAATTTCACCCCTTTTACCTTAATCGCTATTTCCACCGCCAGTTAATGTTCATGTTGACGACCTATCGTAAAGATCATATAAATCTTCATTTTCTTTGATATTCTCTTGTGCTCTTAATTCGGCCTTGCTCCAATCATACATGCATGATTATACTTCTAATGAATCGGGTATCATACTAGATCATGTTTCATCAAATATTTTTCCTCCTTGACAAAAAACTTGTTCAACTACAATAGTGGAGACCGAAGTCGCTAAAACTTGTTCCGAAAACCATAACGTGGCCGGGTCTACGTGGATACAAGCTGGCGTGTTGTGAGACCAACTAAATCCTAAATAAGCAATTGACGTGTTGCGGAACTAACTAACCCCAAATAAGTAATAAACTAATGGATTCTCAATGAATGTCGTAATTGACAGTAAAAAACAAAGTCTAAGGTATCACTTGACAAAATTAAAACCAAAATCTAAAAAATTTTGGTGATTTAGCCTAACAAGCAAAATTTTGAAGTAAAGGAATTCGGTTTCTTTGGTCTAAACTAAATAATAATGTGCATTCCTAACTCACAGGACCCATTGGGCACCAACTACTAAAGATGGCCTGAAATAGGTGGCTGTGGCTGGCAAATGGCGATGGCATAAGCCAGAGACTCCTCAATCCCATCCTTTCATTTTGTCGGCTAAATAGATATGAATTCAATCGAACTAATTTCATAGGCTTGATTTTATTCCATCTACCACCAAATAAATTTCTAGAAACACCTTCAAATATATTGGCTTAATGATTTTTTTTTAAAAAAAAACTTCAATTTTATATATCTCTCATAATTGTATTACAAATTTTATCTTATTTTAATGTTATAAGGTGATATTAAAATTGAATCTATTAATGTGATAGAATTTGAATTTGTTTTTAATTTTTATTGAAATTAAATTCACTATAAAATTTAAAACGTAATAAATAAATTTGACGAAATAAAAAATTTATAATAATTTTTAAAGAAAAGCAGAAATCAAAATATATTTTTATTATTATTAATATTTTTAAAGAAAAGCAGAAATCAAAATATATATTATTATTAGCCAAAACATATATACTATATTATATATATATATATATATATATATATATAATTTATATATTAATTCGTGTGATAAAAAGAAAAGAGCTAACTGCAAACATATATTAATTCGTGTGATAAAAGAAAAGAAGCTAACTGCAACAATTTGGCAAATTGCGTGTGGTCCAGCTTGAACTTTTAAAGCTCTTATAAAATGTCACCTCCCTTTCTCCATCAAAATTTCTCTACCTCAAATTAGATTACCATGAGTCTATACATAGGAAAATTAACTATTTAATCCTTCCATTTTCATCAAAATTCATTAATTCATATTTAATGTTTTGTCTTGTTAAATTATATAGCATTTTCTGTCAAAAAAACACATTTTGCTAATAAACGAAGGGCTAGATAATTCTATAGTAAATGTGAAAGATATAAATCGGTGGTGGTCTGATTGGTTTTCTTACTTATGTAAGGAAAAAGAAGTTTCAGATTTGATTGCTCTCGACCAAGGTTGTTAGGCTCCCTATTGTATAACCCGACATTATATTAAATGTGAAAACTCAAATAAAAATAGATAATAATTATTTTTAAAGTATTTGACAATAAAAATAATAGTTTTTCTTTGACAGAATGATTAGATAGTTTAATGGGCTAAATCTCAAATATAAATCAATCTAATAATTGATAATAATTTCAAATAAAAATCAACTACTTATCTAATTGTTGTTACTAATTAGTTAAGCCGGCAAAATATACTTAGTGGCCTTTATTGACTAAAATTTTTAATTCCATCAATATAGCTAGGATAGGAAAATTTTGATTTTTACTCAGTTTGGAAAAAAACGAATTTCATAAAATTTTGTGGAATTTATTTATAAATCTAAAATTTTCAAATGAAGAATTAAATTCTAAATTTAAATATGAATTTGAATATAATCAAACCAAACTTTATAAAAAAAAATGAAATTTCTAAATAAATTCCATAAACTTATATAACATAAAATTTTATGATAAAATTTTTCATGCTCCTAGCATTCTAAAGTTATTATACTAACGGAGTTTTAGAAATAGAAATAAATGAATTATCAATTTTGAATATTTTTCAAACATAAAAAATTTATTTACAAATGACTTTCACATTTTGACTTAATTTATGCTAAACGGAGCATTAATATACTTCCTCTGTCCCATTTTGTTTGCTTGTTATTCATTTTTTGGATGTTCTAAAATATTTGCAAGATTTCTAAATTTTGATATGTAAATAATTATTTTTCTCATGATAATTTTTATTATCTTCGTTAAATGAAAGACTTTTATTAATATCTTAAGGAGTTAAGCACAAAAAAATGCAAAATAATTTTTGTTGATTGAATTCTTAATATGCATGTTTTGTCAAAATATACAAATAAAATGGGATGAAGGGAGTGTAAAATATGTTGCCTTAAAAACTTTGAGGCTCCATTTGTTTTCAAAAAATAATTTATTGACCAATCATAAAATCTAAGAAAATGATTTTACAACTTTCAAGTAGTCAAACCTTTTTGCAATACATACAGCTGAAATAGCCATTGGAGGTAAATAATAGAATGTGACATTATCATTTGAAAATGTAATCAAAAAATGATATTGATTTAATTATTATAATACGTATACATTTTTGAAATTCAAACCACCAATGATAAAATTATTTTTCTAATTCAAAGATTTGAAGTCTTTAACTAAAAAAAATCAATAATTTATCCGTATTAAATCACGTACAAAAAAAATTTTATTCTTTTTTCACCTTAAAACCCTTTATTATACAAGGCTAAACTCGTTTTTTTTTTTTTTTTTTTTTTTTTTTTTTTTTTTTTTTTTGATTTGAAAGTACTTATAACTATACATAATTTTATCCGTATTAAATCACCCGTACAAAAAAAATTATTCTTTTTTCCAAACCTTTAAAACCCTTATTATTTACAAGGCTGAACTCGTTTTTTTTTTTTTTTTTTTTTTTTTTTTTTTTTTTTACGTCTCCTTTTTTTTTTTTTTTTTTTTTTTTTTTTTTTTTTTTTTTTTACGTTCTCCTATGTTAGGGCTTTAGGCAAATTAATTAAGTTCAATTTTAAAATTAGAATATAATTAAAATAAAAGGTGCAATTCAAATTACCCTAAAGACAAATATCATTTAAGAGTGAAATTAAAATAATTCAAAAAAATTCAAGATGAAAAATATGGTTTAGTCATAAAGTTTATTAATTTCAATATGTTTTAAATGATTTCTGATTTTAATAAAAAAATTTATCAAATTTTTATTATATCAGAAACAATATCAATATCCATGTCTATCAATTTAATTTCAATTTAGGAACAATTCCAATTCCTAATGAAACTCTTTTATATTGGATCTGTTCCATCAGAGAGCCGGCCCTGAAAATCTTGGAAGAACAAACACATAAAGATAAGGAAAAGAATACAAAACTCATGATTCAGTGAAAGAAACGGAGAAATCTTTTGGCTTCTTTCTTTCTTTCTTTCTTTTTTCTTTTTTTAATTTAATAATAAAGTCAACGGCTGAATTGAAAGACCACAGAGTTTGACCTTATCCTTCCTTTCTTCTTCTTCTTCTTCTTCTCCTACTTTATTAATTGCTTTTCTTCAACCTTAATCAACGGGTCCAGCTTGCACAAATAATTCCCATTATATGTATACTACTTAGTTATATTATTATTTTTTTTCCTACCAGTAAGTTAGGGATGGAGTGTTTGCATTTTGTTTTATATTTTCATATAAAAAAGTGTTTTTCATTGTCACTTGCACAGTTATACACTCTCTGTCTCTCTCTCTCGATATAAATGATAAAAGAATACACACGCTCACTTACTACCAATTGCCAGACATGAACCGACCAAAATTTTAATGCCACCCCTCTTCTTTTTCGAACTCTAATTTCTGTCTTGGCATTAATTGTCCCACACCTTCCCAACTATATACTAACCAACCCCTTCAATGCTCTCTCTCTCTGTATATATGGGTGTATGCGTTTCCTTCTTCCAAGCACTTAGACATTGACATTTTGCTTTTCGTTCATTTCCATTTGTGGAGTTTGTTTCTTGCTTCAATTGCTTTCTCTCTTGTTTTTGCCTACGAAGAAAATTTTCTTTCTTTGCTATAATGGCTCCAGCTGCTTCTTTCAATGAATCTTCAAAGACTATTTGTGTAATGGATGCTTCTGGGTGTTTAGGCACAAATCTTGTGCTCAGGCTCCTGCACAGAGGCTACACTGTTCATGCTGCTGTACAAAATCATGGTTTGTCTTTTTACTATTTATTGCTTTCTTTTGTTGCTTCTGGTTCTGGGTTTCTTACGTTCTTGGAATAAAATTACTTGTTTAATTTTGCCCTAATTTTTCTTATATGTTCACTATAATGTTCAAATTCGGGCTTTGAAATTTCTCCAATGTGTTTTAATTTGATGACATTTTTAAGCTTCCCAAGATTCTTTAGATCATCAAATTTTTAACTAATGGAATTAGTTGGCAAAGTTATTATATTTTTTTGTGGAATTATCATGATACTGTACATGGAGTAGAATAGTAGTGATGAGCTTGAGGGGTAATGCAAAAAAATGGCAGAATCTATATATACATATATAAATCATATACATGCATGCACTTTTTTAATATTTACATCATGTGCTAAATAGTTGGAGAAATTCAATGGAAGAAACCACAGGTAGGCTTCATCAATTTCCAGTAATGATTGTTTATTCCATCTATTGGTTGTCTAATTATTTTATCTTTTTCTTTGTCCCTGGCATTTTTTAATATGTATATAGGATGCTTATTTTATTGTGTGACTGTTGTGGATGCATGAATTTGCAGGCAACTTGAAATATTTTGAAGAATTATCCCGCAATAGCAAGAAATTGAGGGTTTTCTACTCTGACCCTTTTGATTATCAAAGCATAATGGATGCACTAAAGGGATGTTATGGCTTGTTCTATTCCTTTGAACCTCCATCAGATCAGCCCAATTATGATGTATGTCATTAATTCATTCATAAATAGCTATTCATATATTCTAAATACTTAGTTATGGTATAGACTAAAATGTCCAAGGCATATTTGTGTGTGTGTTGGGTGTTTGATCCCTTCAAAAAAACTTACATTACTTGGTTATGTTAATACCAAAGTAATTATAAAAGAGAAATTAAAGAAAAGAGAGAAGTTATTTTACATTTAGCAAGCAACAGAGGCCTTTTGAAGCACTAAAATTGAGATGCTATCCACTTTCTTGATAAAATCTTTTGTTCTTTTTCTTTTTGTGTTTTTAATCTTTCCTATTCCTCTTCCTGCCCCCAGAAGCAGGTTGATATTAGAATGACAATTCCTTTTGTTTTGACAGATAAATCTTCTTTAATATGAAAACTTGTCAGATAATGGATACTGTAGTAATTTTGTGTCCTTTCTCTCACATTCATTTAAATTGTGTTCAAGATATGCCTTAATAATTTGAATAACAATGCTTGGTGCAGGAATTTATGGCGGATGTAGAGGTAAGAGCAGCGCATAATGTCTTAGAAGCATGTGCACAAACAGAAACCATAAACAAAGTTGTCTTCACCTCCTCTGCTACAGCAGTTATATGGAGTAACAATCACAATAAGACTCCTGATGATATGGATGAGAGAAATTGGAGTGACATAAATTTCTGCCGCAAGTTCAAGGTACATACTGTGTTTATATATATTTATATTGTTTCTTGAGTTGCTGTTAAAAAAAATATATATATATATATATATTATGTGAAAATGTTGAATCTAGGTTATTAAATTTTATTTTTAAGAAAGATTTCACCTTTTTTTTTGCATTACTTGCAATTCTGCAAGTAATTATCGGATAGATGTATTTGGATTGACAAGATTGACTCGTTTTTATGCAGCTATGGCATGCAATGTCAAAGACACTAGCAGAGAAGACGGCTTGGGCGCTAGCAATGGACCGGGGAATAAATATGGTGAGCATAAACGCAGGGCTCCTGATGAGTCCTGATTTGACAATCACAAACCCTTATTTAAAAGGAGCAGCTGAGATGTATGAATATGGAGTATTTGTTACAGTTGATCTCAGTTTCAATGTGGATGCGCATATTTGTGTTTTTGAAGACATTTCATCATACGGAAGGTATTTATGCTTTAACAATGTCATCAACTGCAATGAAGAAGCTATTAAGCTTGCACACATCCTAGTGCCACCCTCCGAATCTTCGGTTCCTCAAAGGTTAGTTTAAAAGAATTTCTGTTAGGAACTATCAAAATAAACTTTTGTATACATTACTCAATTATTGATTATATAAACGCTTTTTGTGGTGCAGCTTTGAAGATACAAGAGTACATCAACAGAGGATAAGCAACAAGAAACTGAATAAACTGATGGTGGATTTTGATAGTGAGCTTCAACTACATTGAATCATTTGATTTAATTTGATCTCTGAACTGTTCTTGACTGTGAGAGCTGTCAACATGGCTTGTAACTGTACAAATTGCGGTTTATCTGTATGTTTGCAATGCTGTGGATACCAGTATGTATGAAATGATTCAATTTTTTTACATGGAGAAAATAATTTCATGGAATAGTAGTACTTATTTTTTAATTACAGTATTTGCTTTTTAAATAAATATATTAATCTGATGATCTTATTTTGCGTAGTCTAAAATAATAAGAATTATCAATTATCAAAATGAACGATTCCGTTTAATAGGAGGAAAGACAGGGAAACCGACATCGTGCATGTAATATTGAATTCTAAATCCTACGAGGATTTGGAGAGATTAAGAATTAACAACCATAAAAATAAAATACATAAACCTCCTCTTTCAATTCCAAATACAACTAGGAAAGGAACGAACCGACCTACTACTATATATACAATTCAAGTTCAAGAAACCAATATGATCACATTCTTCAGAGAATTTTATTTTTCTGTGCAAAAAATGAAGTTTCTTAAAAATCAGAAGGTAGAAGTATGCAGCAAGGAAGAAGGTTTCGTTGGCTCTTTCTATGAAGCAACTATCCTCAACCCCATTTATGACAACAAACAAGTGTTCTATGAAGTTGAGTACAAGAATCTGGTAGAGGAGAAGAACGAGAACAAGCCTCTGGTAGAGAAGGTCCGGCATGATGAAGTCCGGCCACTCCCTCCGCCAGTAGTGAACGAGCGAGGGTATTTGGTGGATGAGTTGGTTGAGGTTTTTGATAATGATGGATGGTGGTTTGGCACGATTACTGGCAAAACAGGGTGCTGTTACTCTGTCTACTTTCCGACAACTGGTGACCATATGGAGTACCATGTTTCTTGTTTGAGGCCTCATCAGGATTGGGTCCAGGATAAGTGGACTTCCTACAAGTGAAGAAGAAAAACATATTTCTTCCTTTCATTTTTTGTTTTCTTCACTGTTTTAGTAACACTGTAACAGATACTAGCAAAGGATTGATGTCAGGTATTATTGAAACTAATTATAAATAATAAATTGCTATATTTTGAATCTCGTCTCTTAAGAAAATTAATCTGATATGAGCTAGATTATTATAATAACCCCACCAGCCCACACTATACATATAACAAGCCTTCAGATACCTCCTTCGATTTCGGAAATGAAGGTAAACATTCAGTAGAAATATCTTCAGGCACTTAGCGTCATGGAGATGATTGAAGAAAGCTTGAATTTGCGGACTTTTTTGCTGTCCTCTGGCTGAAATAAGACCTCAGTGCTTGACCTTACTGTCACTTCTTTCCACTCGGAACCTGAAGCACCTTTGCTTCGATAATCTCGAGGAGAGTACAAAACTTGAAGCTTTGATTTAGCTGCAATTAATCGCGGAATTTTGAATAGATAAGTCAAAAGTAAAATATAAATGTTAAAAACCATAAATTAATGATTCATTTAAGCAAAACCCTTTCAAAAAAAAAAAAAATGCTTTCCAATTAAAGAAAATTTATGAATATGCCTGAGGTTCCTTCACAGAAATTGAAGATTTTCATTTAAAAGAATTTTCAAAACAGGAGACTTCTTGCATTGCAGGCTCTAATAGAAGTCATATAATGCAACAACAGTCCCTTCACTTGCAAGGGCAGAGTTTTTGTGATTTGGAATCATAACCTCCAAGTTGCAACACAGTTTCATATTTGCACAATACCTTCCCTATAGAATTAAAATGATCATAAAAATTAAAACAAGAAATTTGAGCAATTACCCAGTCCCAACATGCTTGTCTTTTGGACAACAAGACGACCCACTTTTGATCTCTTGATGTTTCTCAAAGCTGTGATATCTTCTTCCTTTCCTTTAAATTCCAGAAATTCTCCTAAGACATATTTGTTACCTTTAAGCTCCAACCTGCACACAATTAAAGACAAATCAAGTAGTTTTCTAAAGGGAAAACCGTATGGATATATATAATGATGCTGGGAAGACTGAACGAACCATAATCAAACAAGTAATAATTTAAATTTGCTTCACTTCTAGAACTTGAACTGGGAACGGCAGAAGAACTTAGCCTACATATACTATGTTCTACAATTGCAGTATTTCTGACTCAATCACACCTTTGCCAAAGGTTAAGTGAGATTATGCAATCACCAGAAGCAGAAACTTGTCATCAACAAGCCAGTAAAAATTTAAAGAAAAGAAATCTGAAAGCATAGAGAAGGACAAGTTGACAATGGATTGAAAAAATTTGAAACATCCAATGTTAGTACGCTCTAGTGCATTGACCAACAGATGACTCGACCAGTCATCTTAAGATATATCTACAACAGACTTGGCTGAATTAGTATTAGCATTTCTTCAGTTTTCCTCTAAGCCCTAAAAGCTCTTACTTTTTCTCTTTTAACTCTTGTATTCCCTAGTCCGTGCTTTAATATTTTGGCTAGAAACCAATGAGAAATTAATTTGACAAATTCAAAGACATTCACAAAGTTGAATGAAAAAAGCAATGCTTATCCTTCTCTTTTTGAATTATGTAATACCAGATCAATGTAATGATGGTTTATACAAAATATAGAGAGGATAACTAAATATAACAAAAATGCTTTATTTGACCAAACACACAACATAATAAACAGAAAAAAAAGGCAATTCATTCAGAGAACATTCATATCCAGTTCTTAGGCACAAAGCAACAAACCTATCCCACATTGGAGCAGTGCTCAGAATGAAATTAAGCTTCTCATGTATAGATTCCTGCATCTCTTTCTTTCCACCACGAAAGGCACCCTTAATCCAACCAGAAAACATACTTTTGGGTTCTGGTTTCAACTGTAACCATTGGTCATAAGTAATGACCTCAGATGGGAAATAGCTTGAGTGAACAGTCCTAGAAGAATAATAGAATTTTCTAATGTTAACAGAATACAGATTCATAATCCAATAAGGAATAAATATTATCCAAAACATGCCTTACACAGAGCAAAATACAAGTCCTACCTATTCCTCAGAACAATACCAGCTATTATCATTATTATGCAACATAATTTATAAACTTAAACATGGTTATTATAAACTCATTTTAATTCCTAATACCTGATCTTTTCTAAAAAAATTTAAGCTCAAAACTAGGGAACATTATTAACTCCGAATGTAGTTACATGCAGAGCCACAATTTTCTCTCGAATATTACAAAATTTATTCAATCCTAAAACTTAACTGAGGCGTACACTGCTAAAATTCAACTCCTTTCCAAACCCTCTAAGAAGTGGTAAATGGCAAAGGAGGCAGACCGCATCCAGACGTATTAAGTTAAGTTGGATACCAAAGAAAAAAATTTATTTACCATTCAAATAAGACACTGGAGCCAGAAAGCACAAAGTGTATATCACAAACTAGAATCCACTTTTTTCCAGGACATAGACATGCATTTTATGTGTCTATGCACATGTTTGTTTAATAATTAACTTTCAATTTATATTACATCATGTACATAGTTCTTAATGCGCATATCCTTTAAGAAGGTTCAATACATACCAGAACTTTGGATTGGGAAGAACAACTTTGTACGACAAATATCCTTCTGGAAGAGAAACTCCTCTTTGTTCAAGATATGATTCAAGAACTGAAGATTGTTTCTTTGCCTCCTCCACCTGAAAATATTAGTAGAACAGTTTTCAGATAATAGGTGGCCGGATACAATTCTGAATTCTTTATCATGTTATAACTGCCAAAAACATAGCACGTTACATATTCCAAAATGATCTAGAAGCCAAAGGCATGAAATGATTTTGGGGTGAAGAACATAAACATCAAAAGTTAGCTTCCTAAGGGACTGAAAACGGAAGAGAAAATGCAAGCATCAAACTAGATATGGCTGCTATAATACAGCATTATAGATGCCCAATAAATTTGTGCTGCTATATAATTTCTTTTATTAATGAGACTCAAGAATAACCCAAACTTATTAAACAGCTATTCCATATATAATAAAGAAAAATCCAAATAGTTTAGCAAAGAAAGTAAACAAGCACAATCATACTACTAACAGACAATAAATGCACCCACGAAAACAAGAAAAAAATGTAAGCGACAAATCCCATTGCAACATGACTTACAGGATCAGGATAACGCTGGGCCTTGTGTTTACTGCTACCTTCACAAACCCAGCTACCATCACCACTGATTGATACAAATCCTGAGAAATTCTTCACAGATATCACCACTGCCTCCCTGCAAAAAAAATAAAAATAAAAAATAAATAAAAAAAAAAAATAAATAAATAAATAAATAAATAATATAATCACTTGTTTTGAATTAATACTCATCAGGCAAGTGCACAATAAAACATTCAACAAAACTTCGGAGGCATTTACCCTTTGGTAACAAGCACCATATCCACATTCTGTCGCGAACCGGTATCAGCATCTGGAATTCGAAGCCCAACATATACCTTTCCTTCGTAAAGCTTTTCAAGTCTAACAATTGAAAAGAATTAAAAGAAACAAACACATATATGACAAAAGCAAATTAAGATTATCTATAATGAAACTGAACTCTAATACTACAATGACCAATCAATTTGGTCAGCTAAACAGGCAACGCCAATTATACTTTTACGATGATTTATTTTCTCAGGGAAGCCATTTCTTATAAATAATAGAACAGAATTTCGGGAATTAATTAATACTTATTAGCGACGTTGAAGAGAGCGCTGGTATCAGAGGTTTCGATTTCCAAAACGTCGTCGTCGTCGGAGAAAAAGCGCCGGAATAACTTGTAAGCGATTAGTCCGCAGAGGATCTCGATCCACATGATGATGAAAAATTGGTGTTTGGATGCCGAGAAAATATTTCTGATTTCTTTTGCGGGAAATGGAAAATGGATTAACAGGAGACCACAGGTAGTTTGGAAAAGAGTGAAATGGGTGTACTGTTATCATTTATACCATCTATATTAGTTTCCTTTCGCATTTGTGGGACCGCGTGGGACTAACGACTAACAAGTAATAGAGCTGCTTAATAGCTAAGTAAACGATTAAATGAAGATATATTTACTTAAGGCAAGTATTTTTTATATTAAATATGTTTCAAGGACCTTTTTATAATAATCCATCCAATAAATAGATTACCGGCCCAATCATTTCATAATAGGCTTCTTGATTCAGCCCTTATTCCTTTTTCTGTTAATTTTTGAGCCCATTAATTTTCGGTCTATGAACCAATTTGAAATTAAAATATATTTACTTATTATTTTGTAATGTAATTTTAAATCCGATGTTTGATAAACTCGTTTTTATACTTTTTTATGAATTAAAATTGAAATTTAATTCACAAATTAGTCGATTTTGCTCGCCTCATATATCAAGTTAAGATTCAATTTATAAACTTTTTTATTTTATTTTATCTAAACCTAAAAATTGACATAAAAGTGAAAGTGGAGTGGTTGGTCAAAAAGGAAAATAAAGGCCAAAAGAGTGGGAATGGTAAGAATAATTTTGCCTATTTGGTGGCCCAATTCATAACCTCACATAATAAATAAACAATTTCTAAGAGTAATTTACTCTCAAATCATTGACATTGGTTAACCAAAAAATAGATGGAGTTTGCTTTTAAAGGTTAAAAATGTTTGTTGAATAACAAGATAGTAGACATTGTAGGACATAACCCTGGACCCAGTTGTTTATACTTTTGCCAAAAGCATTTTATTATCATGAGCTATTAAGAACTTGAAATTAAAGCAGTTCTTCCCCATCCCTTGGAGAAACCTCTTGGTTCCTCATAAATTTAGATTCTTAAGTGCCCAAATGCAGTTTATTTTAGAGAAAAAAGATTAGTCCTTGAAATAATTAACTAAAACTGAATATGTGCCATCCAAAACTGTTTGCACATGAGTTGAACAAGGATCCTCCAGAATTGACAAGAATCTCATGCAAGAGAGAGGTTCAAAAAAGAAAAAAGAATCAGATGAATTTGTATAAATAAACCTTATGGTTTAGCATCACATGACGTGTAGTAGAATAATTCATTATATAAGTCTGCATGAAAATAAAATACCATTTTTTGTTGTAGCTTTAGGTCCTTTTTTCTTGTAATAAAACCTCACTTCAAAAATGAAAAATTATTCTTTAATTAACAGTAAAATCTTTTAAGCTTAAAAAACTCGGAATATCATACAAGATGTACTAAGATACTAACACAGGAAAAATACAGACAAGCACCCTCCCATAAGCCAACACTTGCATGCTGCAAACAAACAATACTGGGTAATTTCGTTGAGGTTCCTGTCCAGGCAACATTAAGTCAGCACAATCATACGTATATAGCTAAACACAAAAAATATACCTGATTAAATAAGATTTATATCTATAGGTCACCAATATTTAAGCAATGTAAGGCATTCTCAATGCATGGAAACATACAAAGAAGATTTCAGGATTGATCTCATAATTTCTGGGAATAATGGATGCACATTGCATGCCTTCTTCATGCTCAAAATAAAAAATGTCACAGGAATAAACTATCAATTCCAGAATTTCTATGGTGCATTCATTTATTCAAAGCTGAAACCATAAAGAACTCTTTTCAGAATGAATCAATTAAATCCACCGTCTTTATAACAATTAACAATATCTTTTTTTTTTTTTCGAATTTTCATGTAAAATAGATGCAAGCATATTAAAATACAATTTCAAAGTCACCACTCCTTTTCATGAAATGTAGATAAGAAGGGCAAGGGGAAAAAAGAATCTCCATCACATACATTATACTCCCCAACAAGGTAATCACATCAAAAGAGAGGGAAAACTAAAGATAATACAAGCCTCTTCATTTTAAACCTATTCTGCAAATCAGAAAAAAAAAAAAAAAACAATAAAGCAAACACTCAGGTGCAAGACATTATCCAATATACCTGCCTGCCTGTTAATTGGACGTAAGTCAGGCCATAACTGGTCTTATCTCTACTTCTGGTTGCTAGTACTCTTCTTCTTCAGTAGGCTTCCAAATTTGCGGAGCAAAGGCTTCTTCTTCTTCTGTTGTTGCTGCTTTGAAGGTGAGGTCGCACCATCGTCCACATTTTCCACGGAAGATAAACCATTTACCTGATCAAAGCTCTCACCGCCCTCTGCCTTGGAGTCCACTTCGTCCTCAAAGGATTCATGTTCATGCTCTCTTTCTGGTGAAAATTCTTTCTTTTCAATCTTGCAGCTTTCCCACATCTTAAATTCTTCTACAGATTCATCTTCTTTTTCTTTGGTCTCATCTTCTTTTGGTTTTCCATTTCCATTCTCAACTTTGGCAGCTTCTATTGGGGCAGTGTCATTATTGAAGCCATTGTTTTGTTCCTTTGGATTTTCTTTTCCGACATCCTCGTGTTGCTGTTGCGGAAGCTCCACCTTGGGCTTCTCTTCTCTAACATGCCCATTTTCTTCAGAGAATTCAACCACCTTCGGAAGCAAATCATATTCTTTTTCACTATCAGTGAGCTCACCATTCTCCTCAGTTTGCTTCTTGGCTATAGCTTCTTCAAGCAATTTAGACAAATCCTCCACCTTCTTCAGAGAAATGGCTTCCCTAGTTCGGAGCTCCTCATTTTCTTGGATAAGATTCTGCAACTCATTTTCCTTGTCCAATAAACTGTCTTTTAGTTTCATGCTCTCAACCCGTGATTCCCCAAGACCCTCTTGCAATGAAATCACCTCAGCTTCAACTTCCTTTAGGCTATCTTTCAACAGAGCTTCTTCCTCCCTGGAAGCACAAGCTTCTTCCTCAGTGTGCTTGAGCAAATTCACCAGCCTATCTATTTCTCTTTCCAAAGAAGAATTTTTTTCTTCTGATTGCTTTACACAATCTATCAGATTTTGTTCTTTTTGCTCCCACTCATCTTTGGAGTTCTGAAATTCATTTTTGGAATCTTCAATGTCATTTTTAAGAACCTCAATCTCATGTTTTGCATCGTCTAGTATGGTTTCATATCTCTCATTTGCTTCCTTCAAAACCAATCTCAGATTTTCTACCTGGGTTTCATAATTTTCATGCTCTACTTGAGTGGATAACAGCTGTTCTTTAGCTTCTCTTGCTTCTGCAGACACTTCGTGTAAGGCTGAAGCTAAGCTTTCCATTGCCTTCTTGCTCTTTTCCTCCTCCTCCCTGGAGTTCTCCAACTCATTTATGAGTTTGTTTTTCTCTTCTAATAGACTTTGGACGCTAGAAGCCGCAAGCTTCTCATTGTTTAAAGCCTGAGCTTTCTCCTCCTTAACTATATCCAATTCAGACTTCAAAGACTCAACCTTTTTTGCCATTTCTGAAGTTTCTTCCTTTGCTGCACTAAGACAGCACTCTGATTCTTCAAGATCCCCTTTCTGTCTCGTGATTGTCATTTCCAACAACCCAAGCTTCTCTTTAAGGGCGGAAATTTCACTTTCTGCATCATGCAATAGATCATTGTTTCCCTCAAGTTGTTTCATGACAGAACACAGAGATTCAGATGCAGATCTCTCCAACTTGTTTGCTTCTTCAACCTGCATTTCTAATTCCTCTATCCTACATTTCCACTCTGCTACTAAATTACGTGCATAAGATTCCGCCATCTTAGCAGCTTCTAACTCAACATTTAGCTGTTCTATGGAAGCCTCTTTTTCAATCAACTCATTCTCAACACCCTTTGCTCTCTTGAGTTCTTGCTTCAAAGTCTCTATCTCCTCCTTAAGCTGCATAACAATCTTGTTACTTTCATTGGCCTCCATTTCATGTTTTGAATCAAGTAGGGCCTTCAACCGGGTTAATTCAGCTGAGAGAATCTCCACCTTATCTGCATGAATCTCGGCAATCTTAGTTGCATCATCAGCATGGCTCAGTGCTTGGTTCTTAGCATCAGTTGTCATGGCCAGTTCTTGCTTCACCCTTTGGAGCTCCTGAGTGGCAGAAAGAAGAGCAGCCACATCTAAAGCGTGTTGGTTTCTCACAGACTCGAGCTCTTTCTGCCATTCATCTTCCTTCTTTTTGGCAGCCTCAATCCCAGCTTGTTCCAACTCAACAGCCCGGAATTTCTCGATCTCAGAATCCTCTTCAGCTCTCTTTTGAGCCACCAAAGCTTCTTGAAGCTTCTCATTTGCCTCTTCTGCAGCCTTTTGTGCTTGTTTCAGTTCATCAATTGCTTGTGCTTTCTCTTTCTCAATCAAACCTATTTGCTCCTTTGCTTTCTTTAGATCTTCCTGAACTTGACTTAATTGAGCCTGTAATTCTGATCCCTTTGCCAATCTTGTCTGTGGTTTCTGATAACAAAATCCAATCAATAAATGCAGCAAAAGAATTCAAGAAAAAAGATGAACAAAAGCATTTTTGAAACTCCAGTTACTCAGTTTTAGCACTGATAGTTCCTGCCCATTTGAAGAAATATCATGAAGAAATTTCCGTGCTTTTAATTTCCATTTTCCTCACAAGAAAGCAAATCGATCAACAAAATGCTTCCAAGAGATTCATTCTTTCCATTACCAAAGTTCTTGGGGAATTCAAACTGCATTGTTTACATACAGAATTGAACATACCATACGATGTTAAAAGCCCACCCAAACTTAATGGGCATTGATTAATACTCACTTCAGGTGGCGGAGTGACCTTCGGAGACCGGCGATCAATGGTAGGCTTTGAAGTAACAGATCGTGGGGAACGTTCAACTGAAAGGCGTGTACTATGCAGAGAAGCAGGTGAATCATGCTCTGCCTTGCTGATTCCCCTACTCACTTTACTCACTTTAGGAGTTGCTGGTGCTGCTTTGCTGGGAGTTTCAGACAAACCAGATCTATACAAGTTTCAAAGAATTATTAGTACAATATCAGATAAAAATCCAAGATAACAAAAACATAACAATTTCATAAAATTTTGAAGCAATTTCAGACTAGTAGTGGATCTATTCCAAATATGGGAACTTTGTAAACTAAATAATTTTATTAGTTCACAATAAAATCAAATTTCTACCGATCAAAATTCTAACTTTTAGGAGAAATAAATAAATAAATAGATCAAATTTACGAAACCAAAACATGACAAGAAAATTACGAATGAACAAAAGATCAGGATTGAGAAAAGCAAAAATGTAAGCCCATATCAACATTTTAATCAAAAAAACAAAATTCATGAAGTATACAAGTGTTTACAGTACAGAACTAGAATAACAGTTGGAGAGAGAGAGAGAGAGAGAGAGAGAGAGGGATGTCCTTATGAATTCAAACGAAAAAGAAAAGCCCTAACAAAGACAGATCCAACCAACTAATGGCAAAATTAAGGACAAAATTCCATAATTGAATTCAAAATTTCAAATTCACAATACCACAACAAACTGCACAAAAATATTAGATCTATACAAAAAAGAGAATTAAACCCTCTATGCTACTCTGTACTTACTTGGTCTTTGAAGACATTTTCTTGTTCTTGATGATAATATAGAATAGAAGTCAGAAATAATAAAAAAAAAAAGGAGTGAAAATATGAGTTTTTGTTGAATTGGGTTTATGGATTCTTTGTTATAATGCTAAAAATACTGACATTGTGTAAGATAATGTAATGTGGCTGTTTCTTTTTCCTTCACTTTCTTTTCTTTTCTTTTCTCTTTCTTGTTTTGGATCAGAGAGACAGAGAAAAATCAAAAAAGTTTAGCAAAGGTAGTAGAAATTGAAGATTGAAGAAGGAGAGAATTTACAGAAACAAATTATTTTGGTTGGTGTTATTGTCTGTAGAGTGGCCACACTCACAAACACAAAGCAGTTGCATTCTCTTTCTCTCTCTTGTTCTTCTCTTCCAAGTTATTATAACATTTTACCCTTTTTCTTTCAGGTTCATATAGATTAGGAAAAGTACAGAAATGCCCTTGTTTTTGGACTGTTGATGTTATTTGGTTTTAAGCTTTTTCCTCTGTCTGTCAAAGGCATCTCCAGCTTTTGCAGAGGTTCTTACCTAGCTGACCCTGCTTTTCAGGAAAAGTTGACAACTCCAATAAAATAAATAACAGAAATTTTTGATTTTTTCTTTTGAGAATTTTGATATTTTTTTAATTTGTGATGAATTGATAATTTTGCTTAATTATTGAGGATTTTTCGCTATGTTAAGGACTAACAAATCAAATAAAACTTCATTATTTAAAATTATATTGATGATAAAATGCCATTTAAAAAATTAAATTGGAAACAACCCTAAATTTTGAATATCAACATTCATAATCTAATGGCCGAGCACGAAATTGTTATCAACCGTTTAAATCAGATTAATTAAATAAGTAAAGATTAAAATAAATAAATGAGATAAAAATGGTAATTTACTCGTATAAAGTAGTATATCATTGTAATTTAAGTGATGTAATTGCTCCTTGAACTGCTATGTAAAAGCCAAAATTAACAAATAAAAATAGACAAATGGAAATAAATTTACAAATAAATTTTATTTGTCTGTTTTATCTAAATTATTTGTGGCTTTAGAAACTAATTTTGTGGGATTCGCTAATCTAGAAAAGTTATTTTTTATTTTGATTGGCTAGCAGGTTTTGTTTCTTCCTTGTCATTGGGATTTCATCTTTTTTTGTGGTTTTAGAAGCAATCAAAAGATTTTCTCATATGGACCAAAACGGCTCATATTCAACTTGAAACGACTGTAACTCTTAATAAATTGAGTTTTATTACAACCAAAACTGACGAAATAAATTAAATAACTTCTGAATTATTTCTCTCAAGTGCATAAATATTAAATGGAATTATCCTAAATAAAGAAATACTCGATAATTTTTTTATTCATTAGGAGACTCAATAAGTCGAAAAAATATCATGACTATACAAATTAATTTAGTTATATAAAAAATTAGTTAAATATACAAATTAATATTTTGAATTGTAAAATAATATATTAAACAAAGAATGAAATTTAATATATTATAAAATCATTAAATTTCTCGTGGGTACATAAATTTTATTTTTAAATCCTTTCTTTTTTTTTTTTTTTTATTTGGCCTAATAGGAAAAGAGGTTTACAAAGCAATGAAAAGTAGTGTTGCAATCCTTACATATTTGGGTAAGATTTTCCACCTAAAACTCTACTTAAAGGCGGCCTAATACATAAGCTGGTCCCACAATGTACCTATGAGAAAAAAGATTGAACTAAAGTAACTCCAACGTCTAGTTCTGTCCCTCCGTTAATTTTAACCATACGTACAATTTAAATATGCTATACATAGATATAAAATATTAATTGGTAGATTATGTAAAAATAGATTAATCTTAATTCCTATGATACCCTCATTAAATAAGAATCCATGATAATACATGAGTCTGTTCGGCAAAATTAATAATTATGATAACTATTAGCATTGTTTTAATAGCGTTTAATTGTTAATTGTTTAAATAATTTTTCATAGAACGCTAAAAGCTAAATATTATATAAATTCATTTTTTATAAAACGCTACATTGATTTTTAAAAATTAATTTAAATGCTCTGTGTATCAAATACTATATAAAATAATGCTCAAAAATGTTAAAATCTATTTTAAAGACCGTTACCAAACACAATTTACGGTTATTTATTGTGGATGTAGTCTACATAGCGTAATAAGCTAAGTTAAAAGGGAATTGGAAATAGTAAGAAACAAAGTTATGTATGGTGAGAAGGTGACTAGCAACCAACAAACTTTCCTTTCTCTTGTAGGTGTGGCTAATAATTGATTGTTAATTATGAAAAATATGTGTGAAACCCCAACTTGAAAGAAGTTGTAACTAAATCTCAACTCTTGGATCATATTAATTATTGGTGGATGATGCCAATTACACCAAACAACCAACACTCTCCTATAAACTTAATATTACTTTATTTGGTGCCTATTCTTATCCTCGTTAGGTTTAATTTTAAATTTTTTATTTTTAAGGAAAGTAGCAAATTGAATTCTAAAATTTAATATAAATAGATATTGAATTTGAAATCACTGAGTCTTCTTGAATCTTAGTGTTGGCCTTTTAAACTAAATCTCATTAGCCATTGGTTTTTATAAGTGAATGACTAAAATTTTAATGCACTTGAAATTCTATAACTCAAGTTGAATCGTTAGGTTAATCTTCGATAGATTTTTTTTTTTTCCTTAGACTAATAATTTGAAACGGTCTTCAAGAAATTATATGGTACAAATAGAAATATGTCTTTTTCACGGAAAAATATAATCAAATAATAAATTATGACAGTTTTTGAAATCTAAAATAATTGTTAGCTTGGTATGCTTATGCATCGAGTGTTGGCAGTGGTGGATCCAATTGATTTTTTTTTTTTTTTTTTTTTATTTTTTTTTTTTTTTTTATTGGAATTTTTTAATATATACATGGTATATTTATCTAAAATAGCAAATAAACATCAGCTTTTTTTTTTTTTTTTTTTTTGAATTTTTTTAATATATACATGTATATTTATCTAAAATAGCCCATAAACATCAGCTTATTTATATTTTTAACCTCTCTTTTCTCAAAAAAATATATATTGACCCCAAAAGAAATGAATGTGGGAACCACGTGTATTTTTTGGCTGACTTTTCACTAAATAAATAATTAAAAATTAAAAGAATGAAAATAAATTTATTGTTTCTTTAAAGAAAAAAACACCAATTTTCTTTTTATTTTTTATAAATTTATTTTTAAAAAATTGAATAAAGTAAAACTCATACTCATACATCCTCAGATCCTTGCAATTGCTAATCGTGCTGCTACTGAGCCGAACACTGTCGCAAAGGAAGACGAAGATGATGGCTAAAAGCTGCCAATTACGTGGACGCTACTCGCCACTCGGCCAACAAAATCCCCAAATATTTCAAAACTTGACTGAATTCCGAAATCTTTTAGCATTGATCGGAGGTGGTTCGGGAACAAGAAAATTCTAGATGCTGGATCAACACGATCGAGGGACATCGAAGGAACTGTAGAGCCTTGATCAATACACTGCGACGGAGTAATCAAGGTGCTCTTCGTGGGGCGATTGTGCATCTGCAGGTAACACCTTTCACGATACTCCCTCCCATGCGTTATCTTCTTCGTTTGTCTCTGTAGTTGTCATTTGCAACAGACAATTTGTTTGGTTTCTGAGAAAAGAAAGGAAAAGTATTAGCAAAATAAAAAATAAAAAAAACCTACATGTAAAAATAATTAGTTTAGTTAATAAGGAGGCGTTATTATTACTATTAAAACATTACAGTAAATAATTAATATAAAGTATTTGGTTTTTTAAACTGAGTTTATTTTATTTATACATATATAAATCCACGTGCTGTAAAAATGGATTATGTTTATTTACCGCAAAAACTTTATAAGGAGTATTATAGTTTCTTCTCCCAAGAAATTTATCTTTTAGAATTGTTTTTTATATTGATATATTAACTTAACAATTTTCAACGATAGGCTGTTTTTGAAAAAGTCTATTGACTTGAATTTAGTTTTGCTGAAGTTTTGTTAAGTTTTTTTCCGGTAATTTTAATTAGTATAAATATAATATAAATAAAATTTATGAACTTAACCATAGGAATAAATGAATTCCATAAAATTTTTATAAAATTTATTTATAGATTCAATATTTTTTTTTGTGTTAGGCATGAAAAAAAAAATGAAAATTTAAATTCTACGAATTTAATTTTATAAATTTAAATAAAACTAAACTAAATTCTATTAAAAAATTAGAATTTCTTAATGAATGCTATAAATTTACTATCAATCCTCCTGACAATATGCATTTATTATACCAAGAATATTTTAGAAATCAAAAAGCTAAAAAACTCTTAATTTTAAATATATTTTCAAATATGAAAAATTTATTTATAAATAAATTTAACATTTTGAATTCATTTATTCGAGACGGAGTAAATAAGAAACATCACTTCCTTTTGAAAAGGTTAGAAGGATTCCATCCCTGAAATGAATCCAGAATTGAAAGGAAAACAGTATTGGGTAAAATCTGGTAGATTAAAGCAATCGTGATAGCTTGACCTAATCCTATACAATCATTTCTGCTCGAGTCATTTTCCATTCAGATTTCTTGTGTTTCTTTATTTCATACATGATTTTATCGTCGCCCTGTTTTGTTAGGGTTTCACTTTCTTAGCTAAAAGCTTAAAAAAGGGATTTAAGGGGCTAGAGCTTAGAGGTAAAAGTTATATATTCGGTGCAACCCATGAATACATGACAGAAAAACATATTGTGAATTATGATAAAGAAATCTATATTCTGTGTACATACAAACTTATTTTGATGGGGGAAATAAAAAAAAAAGAACAAAAGAGGAAGAAGCCTCAAGCAGGGAAGGAACTTCAGGAAAGCTCGGTTGAAATTTGAATGATAAAATTTGTGAAATATTTATTAGAAGAATAAAAAAAAAAAAAGGAATGGATAATTATAATATTCCATTACGAAGCCATGAAAGCTGCCATGTGCTGGCTTCCAATGGAAATCATTGTCTTCAGGTTGTGGGGTCCAGAGACATTTGATACGAGTAGTATAGTAGGAGATACACATGTATATGTATAATGCATTTCCGAAACACTACTATATATATTGAAAATTACGTGTCAAACAAAACAACCAACCAACCATGTCCATTCTAATTCTTCCAAACATCTATTGGAAATTTCCAATCGAGCTGTGAGATTTTTGTCCTCGATTAACGCCCTCTTCTGCAATAACTTTCAAAACACTATTTTTATTATTTATAGTGTTCGGTGACATACTATTTATATTAGTATTTGAAGTTTAAAAAAATAAATTATAAAATATTATCTCATTTTTTAATGTTTATGAAATGTTAGTTAAAAAAGTGAAGGCTTAATTAACAATGCCGAACAAATCTTAAATATTATATTATTTATCTTTAATTTTATGTAAAAATATAAAAACATTTATTTATTAAAAAGCCTATGTCCCTAAAAAAAATTATAATTATGATATAAGAAATTGATCAATATTAGCATATATCACAAAAAGAAAACGGTTTTGTAATTATCAAAATTTATCATTTTTTTAATTATATAAATTTAATATTAGGATATTAATCATGATTTTCTCTCTTGCCTCTAGTAAAAAAATTGAAAATTTTCATTTATGAATAAATCAAAGTAGATGTAATCATGTAGAGGGGAGGAAGAGGTTAAAAATGGTAGAGGAAGAAGCATGGATAAGACACTCCACACAATGGATATTGTTGTTGTAGCCTTTGTCACATCATCTGCTTTAACTCTTTCTCACACAAATGGGTCAATTCTCATACAATACACGTGATCCTACTACACGTGGCTTCAATTCATATCCCTTGCCCAAAAATAGGAAACTGAAAATTCAAAATTAGAATTTCGTGGAACCAATTGAAAGTTGAGGAACAAAATGAATAATTATCAAATTTTGATAATTCTTTTTTTTTTTTTCACTGAGAATTTTCTTTTCTTAATTTTAAAGGGTAATGGCTTCCTTAAAGTAATAGGTAGTTTTACCTCTAAAAAGCCATGATCTTAGGTCTTTTGAACTATATACAACCTGGTTTCTGTCAGTTCATGCACTGGTATTTCTTTTTTACATTTTCTTTAATTTTAATTGAATTTATGTATATTTCAAAAAAATTTAAAAATTATAAGAAAAGGAAAAGAAAATAGAGAGATAGAAAAAAGAAATTATTGATATACAATACACGTGACTCTTTGGCAACCATACTCGAGTTATGTGAAAGGTTGATGATGATTTCCCTGGCCATGCGTGTTTCCTTTTTTCTTTATACATTTGCATTTACATCAAAATCTAATGTTATTAGTTTGGAACTTTGGATAATTTTAATCCAACTTTTCATGCATCTAATAAGCATAGTTAGTTTTGGAAGTACTGCAATTAATACATCTAGGTATGTAGTAAACGAGTTCGAGCGAACTCAAATCTATTAAGCTCGAAACTCAGCTTAATATAATTTATAACTCGAAACTCAATGAGTTTGAAAACTTTAATTCGAGTTAAGCTTGACTAAAGCTGAAGCCAACTTAAATCTCGAGTTCAAAACCTGATATTTTTAGTTGGTTTTCTATTTTTCTACTGCATTGCCAACTGTGCAATATAACCATTATTAGGCTGCTTTACAGATTATTTGAAGTGCAATGTGATAAAATATAGCCAATTCCCATGGCTTGATTGTTTAGAGTTAAATGGATGACGTGGCAAGTCAATGACATGAACAAACAGTCCACATGTTCTCCCATGTGGCATGTTTCTACTTTGATCTAATTATATGTCCTTTACCTCTTGGCAATAAGTTCTTTTCTTTCAGTTTTATTCTATCCTTTCATACTTTTTTTTTTTTTCTTTTTTCTTTTCTGGCTGTGAATTAAAGGGCACAAGGGGCATTCCCAAAAGAGAATAATTATTTTGTTTAAATTCTATCATTAAACTGAATTAACGAATTTTAATTAATTTGGCTCAATTCTTAAGACTACTAGATACTGCACTTTGCCTGAAAATAATCAATTACACTCTGTAATTTTTTAATTAATTTGGCTCAATTCTTAAGACTACTAGATACTGCACTTTGCCTGAAAATAATCAATTACACTCTGTAATTTTATTTTTTTAAAATCAGAATAATAATTATAATATTTCAGTTTGATTAATTCAATTTTATAATAAATCGATCTATTAAATTCATTTAATTAATTGAATATTTTCAAGTTTGAAATCAAACCCATAAAATAATCGGCTCTTAATAATTCATAAATAAACAAAAAGAAACCAAATCTCAGCTTAATAATAATTAGACACTAAACAATAGGCAATCACTAATCACTACAACCTAAAGCTCACATCCATGGCTGTTATTACCATTAAAAACTAACGGAGAACAACTAACGAGACAACTAAGTTCAACAGTCAAATGAAAATACTATTTAAGACAAAGGTGTAGTTTTATATAAGGATCCAAAACCCAGAAGCAAAAATCCAAACAACTGTCATGCACATGGAGTGACATAATAAATGGATAAAAATGCAAAGAGAAACAAAAGGTGGGTGAGGCCAAGCAAAGACAAGATGTACCATCAACCAGCCTCAAATGGGAAGCATTCTTTTGCCAGCCTCAACAAATCTCACAAGTGTACTCACTCTCGTTACAATCATGCCTGCCCTAAATAAGGGTAGTCCTCAAATCTTCAAATTTATCACCTAAAAAATTATCTTTTACAATGCAGATCTTGTGGCAGAATCAGGGAATCAGCGAGGCATATATATATATATATATATATATATTTAATATAATATAAGTAGTAACATGTATCTGGAAAGCAGAGGAGTTGAAATGACAAAGTAAAGAGTTGTACATTGCTGTTTATGATTTGATACTTTAGTGGAGCCTAAAGAAGGAAAATGGATATATAATGTAGTACATGTATCTGAAAGCAGAGGAGTGAAATGACAAAGTAAAGATTTGTACATGCTGTTTATGATTCTGATACTTTATGGAAGCCTAAAGAAGGAAAATGGAACTGCTTCCACAGTAGAATATACATTACACCTTCAATATTTCAAATACAAAATCCAGTCCACACATGAAGGAGAACTACTTCATTAGACAATATTAGCATTAAACTTAATCAACTGTTTGTAACGTTTTGTTTTCTCAAACCCTAAAGCCTGCTTTGTCTCTCTATCATAAGATCAAGGTATAACTTTCATATCTTTTGTGATCTGTTTGGCATTATTGTTTGAGCTTGTAAAAGACAATATGTTAAAAATATTAATAAAAAATCATTAATATTTATTTTTAAAGAGAATTTTTCCTATTCTGAATAGGAAAGCTTTAAAAATAACTAAACAACAGTTCCAAGCTATTTTTTCCAACAAATTTTTTTTTCCACAAAAACACCTCAATATCACATACACTCTTAAGGTCTAATTTGCTCTGAATATGGTTGTGATACAAGATCTGGTAAGGTTTCACATCATTAATACTTAATGTCAAAATGCTATCAATTAAAAGTAACTCAGGAGTTGCATGGATACTACTACTACAGTTACATACCAAAGGTAGCCAATGGATCAAAATCTCATCTAATAAAAAATTGTGATTTACCACTCAAAATGTGATATGAACTAACGGAAAATATGATAATCCACCTAAATCTAGACACATGGGAGATTGTTCCTTGCAAATCCCAACTCATTAAGTAAAACACAAGCCATCTCAAGCGAAGATAAAGAAGCAGCTAAGGTCCAAGCCTAACTAAAAGCAGAAGAAATTACTAATTTATTATTCTAACTAAAGCAATTATTGCATATGAAGCATTTATGGAGAGAGTTGAAAAATGTATGTTAAGAGGTCATAATTAGATGGAGAGGAAGTACCCAAATATATACAAATTTCATTAATCCAGTCAGAATCTAGTGATAAGGAGAAACATTACATCAATCATCATATGAAACATGAAAACTGGTGGTGCAACCAGGCGCCTCAGGTTGCTCGGCCCCGCAGCAGTCATAAAATTTGGCAGCGTATGGTGGATCATCAGGTCCCAATTCATAGTACCTTCAACCAACCAACCAAAGAGATAGATGAATCCTCCGGCATAACTTAAAAATCCAAATTAAAGATAAGGAAATGGTTACAAAAAGAACAGAAAAACATATGAAAAGAAGAGTTCTTTTTTTTTTCTTTTTTTGCTCTATCAAGGGGGCAGCCCATCCCCTTAGGCCGTTCCTTAATTCTACTCTGGCTAATAGTTTCACTAATATTTGATGAATGGGGAATATAATAGATTTGAACTTGAGATCCTTTACTTGAAAAAGAGTGAATAGGCCCATCTGACTAAGCTCATTTGGCCGAGGAATAATTTTTTATTTAACTTGTAAGGAACACATTTTTACCAAAATAATTATTAACTACAAAAATATTGCATTCTCTAATTAATACTCTTTCTCTCTCTCCCGCTATCTTCCAATGATCATATTATGCTAACTTCCACTCTTTCCTTAATAGAAGAAAAATCTATTCATACAATAGGAAAAAGAAAGTTGCATCGAACTTTAGTTCAAATTTTTTATACAACTAGATATTTCCCAATAGTTGGAGCCATTTTTCTGCAATAATATAAATTAACACCTATTTAACATAATATAGTGGTTCAATACATCACCAGATCACCCAATTGCAATGGATATAAAAAGAACTATTATCTCTTCCATCCTCTCTGGGCAAGTCTTACTTGAAAGAAAACTGTGCAAAAGGAAGACTCTCTAGCATCAGGCAAATATGTATTTCTATCATGTTTTTCTTAAATTTGCTACGTTCTCCAAACTTTCTCAAGATGTATTATTTTACCATACACTTTTTCTAATATATATTTTCTTCCCTCAGCCTTTAATATCTTATTTGCTTATGTATTCCTTCCCATGTTATATTTTAAAGACAAATTGAGGTTTTTAAGATTAAAAGGCAGTGTTGCAGTGAATGATTGTGAAAAACACTACAATGAAACAAACACATATGTCCAAGTTCTAATGAGTGTGCAGAGATGCATACATAGAATAGAGAACATAATCAAATAGGTTTTACGAGTTTCAAATATTATAAATAATGTCCCAAAATACCTTTTTTTTTTAGCAATATGTCCCAGATGCTTGAGGAATCAGAATGGGATCATCTGCATATTTTTCACATTTCTTGCTTTTATAATACAATTTTAGTATCACTCCAGCAAGACCCTATGTCCCTATATCTATTTATTAATTCAATTCTGAAGGTAATTAAAAAGACCGTCATGTCTCCATGCTTTTCAGTCATGCTACCAATATATGAAAAACATCAACACTTCATGTTTTTGGCATGGCTAAAACAACTATAACCACCACCACCAAAAAAAAAAAAAAAAAAAAATCTTTACCTATGTCTTAGTTACATTACCATCATCATCAACTCCTGCAGTGAAAATCAGCACAAGTACAATCTGAGACATTGTTATTGTCATCTTTTATAGCTCAACCAATCACGCTTTTCACTTTTGTTTTGCCAAATAGTTAAAAATGAGGATTCAACGAGACAATATAATGATAAAATCCAAAAAGACATTTCCCTAACAATATTTGTTGACATTGGGGTTCACTATCATTATCATTATTCCAAAACATGAATTCAATTACAAATTAAACTGAATTGAATTCTGCTAAAGGAAGCATTTAATTTCAGCTCAATTAGGTATTACAAACCATAAATAAACTAACAATTGGATTGAACTAACGAGTCACGACCCTAATACGGATTCAAATAGGGCAAAAGGTAATGCAAAAGAGTCGAAGAGGAGAAATAACCTTTTCTGATCATCGTGACGGCGACAGACAAAGAAGGAAGGATGGAAGCGACAAGAAAAGGAGGTGTTAGACGACGAAGTGTACATCTGCTTACACCGCATGCATAGTTTCTCCTTCTCTTTATCTTTCTCTTCTTTTTCCATTTCTCTTTCTCTCTGCTTATGGCTCTGTTACCCTGTAATCAACAAACTATCTCCGGCTGTTTTCCAGATCCTAATTGGAAAATGTAAATTTTAGCCCACTACCGGCTCTTCATGCTGCAGGCCCACATAAAACTAAATCGGACGCTCAACAGAATATAATAAAAAAGGTAATAAGTAACTATTTGGTGTGGAAAAATCACAATTTCATCTCTGGTCTGTCCTTTATTTTAAAAATATATAAATTTTTTCCATATCGAACAATTTTTTATACCTTTTCTGTTAAAAAAAAATACAAAAATTGCAAAAAGTATTAAGACAAACTAATTAATTTTTGACAAAATAGTTAAATATGCAAGTATTGACTGAAAAAGTATAAAAATATTGATAAAAAGATAAAATAAAATGACAGATTAAACAAATATTTCCTCCAAGATTTTGTTATATTATAATTAATCCTTCTTTTTGGTAAAATATAAGACAAAATAATAATATTTTTCATTTAATTCTGAGATTTTGTTCTAATGGTGATTCCATCCCTCTTGGTAAATATATTGATTAATTTTGGAAATTAACCCCATTAAACTATTTAACAACATTAAAAAGGATGTATTTAGTAGTTTCATATGATATTTTTATAAATTTACCAAGCACAAGAACCTTAAACTAATGAAACATGCTATTCACTGAAAAAGGGGCATAACTCAATCAATTGAACCATTAAACTCATTTGCTAGATGCCACTATTGATAAACAAAGGAAATCATCAAAAGCGTATACACACCCAAAAGAGGAATTAACAAATCAATAAATATACCTCGGAATCTCTTTAACTATATTCCACAATTTGGAAGAACAGACTAAAAAATTTCTCAACTGAAAATGTCCAATAAAGAAGAGCTCTTATGGATATTAATCATTGAGCCGATTTCAGGGTCTAACCATTTTAAGGAAGCTCTGCACCAGATGAAGTTAAAACTGTTACACTATTATTACACACCCACATGCATAGAATCAAGCCTGCAAAAAGCTTGCATACTTTGCGCCTAGGAAAAGCCTTTGAATACAAAGCAGGGCATTTTTGGTAACTTCAGCATTTTCATGGTTCATCAGCTTCATTACCCGTTCCTTTGCCTTGAGGTCTGTAACTATAATTCGCCCAGCTGGGTGGTACTGGATAAACTGTGAAAGATCAAAGCAACCAACAGCCAGAGCTCTCGGGTCATTAGAAGTGTCCAAAATTGTTATAAGGACCCTCAGAATCTGCGCCAGAATAAATATGTTAATTTCATGAAAGTGGAATCTGGCTTTGTAAACTGGGCCAGAGTTAGAGTTGAAACTGCAGAAAAGATGATCTGTGATCAAACTTTTATGTTGCAGGCAGGAGTTGAGGGAGGGGGAATTGAGGGGAGCCTAGGACCCCTCAAACCCAAGAAATTTTTTAAAAGTTCTCATTGTATTTTATTTATTTATTTTGGCATCCTTAATTTTTAAGAATATTCTTTTTCCCCCTTAATTTTGAGTCTAACTCCACCCCTGGTTGCAGGACAACAGGTGGAGAAACAAGCTTAGGTTGCCTATTGAACCATTTTTTTTTTATTCCTTTCTCTAAGTGCATCCTCTCTCCCAATGAATATTTACTGATTGGCATTATTAGAATGACAAATGAAAACAACTTGTCAGTTCTCAAGCAAGTAAGAAACTTTATGAATTAATAATAATAATATTGCTAGTATCAGTGGAACCTAGTATTTTGATTATTCTATATGCATTATTCTGTCTTTCAGGGGAAAAAAAGACTTGCACAGGAACAGACTTATTAAAAATGGTTAAGTGCAAATAAAAATACTAGAGGCAGTACTGAGCATTAACTACAGGGATAATTTTGTCAAGTCAAAAATTTAAACAAAATGTCTAGTAGCTTTGGCCATAACATGGACACATGGTGCACTCTCTAGCTATCGTGCTATTAGATAATAAAGAATAATATACCATCAAAGGTGCCACTTTTTTAAGGATAGTCTGAAAAATTCTTTGCGATAAAGAATATTTTGATGGATAGTCGAAATAAATTTTTAAAAGGTATAACATCAGAAGTGATTGATAAGAACATCTTAATATTCTTCAACCTTTGTGACATACATGGACATCCCTAGCCAATGGCTAGAAAGTGTAAATGCCAAAAAGTAGGGGTTAAGCATTCGGTTGAACTGTATAAACTGAATTTTCATATAAGAAAAACCAAACCGAATCTTTTATAAACGGAACTGAACCAGTTTTAATTTAATTTTTGGGTTAAATCAATTTGGATTTCAGATTTTTTGGTCTTACATAATAAAAATAAACCCAACCGGAAAAAAAATTCGGTTTTTTTTTTTTTTTTTATTGAAACCAAAATCGAGACTGAACCAAATTTTTTAAAAAACTGAAGCAAACCAATCAGTTCACTTGGTTTTACTGTATTCTGCTCAACCCTACCGAAAAGTAGTAGTGGATGTATACAAATGAGACTACTATGTGTTTTTATTGGTTGACCTAGACAAGCATGTATGCACATGCAACTACTAGTTTTCTTCTATTACCCCCTACCCCACTTCTAATGTCCTGTCTAGGCTCAACTAAACAGTTACTTTAGTATTCTTCAGTTATTAAGTGCCTCATGAAGACCATTAAAGTGCTGGGTTAAGGTGTGAAAAGATAGACGAGTACCTGGAAATCATTCTCTTCAAAATTGTTAATGTTTTCACGCCAGAATATTGGATCTTTGTGCATAGGAGACCAGTCAAGATGCCCTAGGAGGACTTCTTGCTTATACTTATCAAAAGAACTCAGTTTCTTAATGTTGTCCCTCAGGCCTTCTTCCAGTTGGTTCAGAGCCTCCAGTAAGTCCTACAAACATTCAAAGACATTACATGAAATCAATTAGGAAAGGAAAAATGTAGAAATTGAGACGCTTATTCCTTAGAAGGACCCATGTAAGCAAACTGTGTTATCAGAACTTTGTGCAGCATGTTGATCCAATATTTCTTTTGCTAAAACTAAAATGCACCAAGCATAGTGCAGACAACCACCTGTTTAGATCAAAATCACAAAAATGCCCATATAAGACATTAAATACTTAGAGGAGGATGATGAAGAAAGGGAAGGGGGTGGGGGGAAGGGAGAGAGATCAATAAGGTAAAAGAATGGGATAAATGCAACATTAAGATAAAGAGTGCCCAGCAGGCAGGGCAAAAAAAGCCATGTAAAAATCATAGTAAAAAGAAAGAAATTGAAAGGCAGCCTAGTGAAAGCAATGGAAGTATTAAGTTTACTGTTATTGTAGCAACCCTATTTAAGAGCAGTCCAGGAGTTCATTGTTACAGTTTAAGTCACTAATAGCCATTTGATATCAAAGCCCAGGTTTCAAGGAGGGTGACAAAAGCAAACGTCTCCTCAGAGGTACTAAAAGATTCAGAACCCAATCTTTGCTATTGGACTTGAAAATGCAATAGCAGAATTTTAGAAATGATTAAAAATCATGAATGTAAATGAGTGCTGAAAGACTTTCTGTCAGAGAATTGTGATCTTAAAAAAATGAATTAGAAACAAAACAACTAAAAAATTAGGAGTTAAACAACTACGGCGCTGCAAGAATATCCTCCCCTACCAAACTTTAACCTTTTGGTCTATGTCAAAAGGCAACTGTACTACATATAGTATCATTAATTAAGAGATACAACTCAAGTTGCTCAGCAAAAATGATGAACAAAAGAAAATTTGATTTTTTTTTTTTTTGGGGGGGAAGAAAAACATGCAGAGGCCACATTCAGCCACATACAAATAGCCCAAAAAACAAAGTTATTTGACAACCTAGCCCATCCAAACCACTGAGTTAGTGGTTGTGCAGTCTAGCATGTGATACCTATTTATAGTCTTCAACTTCAAGAAGTAAAAAAACAATGACAACACCATACCAAATTTATACTTAAGTATAAATATATGCCAGGGTGAGTGAACCAGGTAAAAACTGAAAAGTTGACCATTGCATGTCTAGCATTTTATTGACAGGCATAAGTATGACCATATTCACAAAGTACTAGAATACCAGCACTTCCTTATTTCCTTTTATATTTCATTATAAAATATAGCCTGCAGAAATAAGAGTTGGACCATCTACTTCTCTTACCTCATCACTCCACGCTTGCGCTTTTAAACTTTGAACAATATGTGGCAGGCCAAGGTCTACCATCTGTGCACCAAAAGTACCTTTGGACAGCAAGTTCCTAAATGTCAAGACAATTACCCTGACAACCTAGCAAACAACAGCACAACAAACATGATAAAATTTAGTAATTGACAGGGATAAACAAGACAACTTCATATATATTGGCCAAACTCTGGCTTGTAGCACACCATGTGCAGATTGCCCATGTGACTGTTCAATTTAGAACCATAAAAGAAGTAACCATAATTACAGGAATGAGAAATCTGAGAGAAGTTGATGACCTAATTAGCTGCAACCTGATACATTTTAATCGGTAGAGTGAATACCTAGAAAGAAAAGTTAAATGAAATAAATGAAGACCCACCTTCTCTTTTGTCGAACTCTTTACAACCTCTACTAGTCTTGGCAAGGTTCTAGAAGTAGCCAAGTATTCAATTGCTGGTTCATAGTAAGAGAGTAGCCAGACACAAAGACATGTTTCATAAAGAAGCTGTAATAAAAATAAGCTATCAAATACTCAGTATTAGATAGTGCGTTAATATAAGATGTTCTTAATGTTCAAATATTCAGCAATAAAAATAAGCTGTCTAATATTCAGTATTAGATCGTAAGGTAAATATAAGATGTTCTTAATGTTCAAAGCTTGTATACATTTGTCATGTCTGCCAAGTAACATGAGTAACTCATGGCAACCCAAGTTACCTGAACTCATCAGCAGCTGATATTTAGAGTAACGTATTCTGATAGAGAATATATTATCAAAGCCAGCATTTCAGTATATATATTACCTGGATAGATTGCTGGGTAGATGCAGGAGAAATTAAAGGAATCAGCAGCTTCAGTCCATCTACTTGAACAAATGAAGACCTAACTACAGGTTCCTTTAGTAATGTTGCTAGGCAACTAACAGCAGTTGGAACACCCCGACTAGGATGTGAAGGCTTCTTCAGCTACATGACATAGGGCAGCAAGAGCAAAGCATGACAAGAAGTACAACTTAAATTAAAGCTAATTACTATCATTTGCAAAACTGTATACAAACCTGGGCACAAAGCCATTCAACCAATCCTTTCAACACATCATTGATGGTAGTGATTTTTCTCTTTGAATTTGAGGCTTCTCCATTTGCAATGAAGCCATCTTGGGTTTTTGGCCTAGCACTGTAATAGCAGCAGATTTATTATAGAAGATTCAATCTTGTTATTCTCTAAACTTCACTCCTCAACACTAGATAGAGCAATCAAGTACCTCACTATCAGAGCAAGTATCTTGCAGCTCTTTTCTTGTACGTACCAATTACCTTTCCAGAGCAATCTGAGGGAGGACCAAATTATAGGTTGTTTTAGTTTTCACAATTTTGCAGCACGACTGATAGCTTTTTCCAAATCAAGGTTCTTAAAAAGCATATTTACTTTAAGAAAAAAATTGAAACTAATGTTTAACTGTTCAGGAGCTTTTATGAGTAAAACACCAAGTTTATCTTAAAAGCAAAACAGCTTTGAACAAATACTCAACTTAAGAAAGGTTCATAAGTGTCTTCATTTGCAAGAGACTTATCATGGAATAATCTGGCTCTTTTTGGGTTAGCTGCAAATGAAAATCAACAAGAAGTTAATTCGTAATATCAAAAAGACAATCACAAGGTCAAAAAAAAATTCTTTCAATTACCTGTCAGCATTTCATCAATTAAAGCCAGAACATATTCAACTGTTTCTTCCTTAAATATATCTCGTAAGATGCTAACAAATACCCGAACATAAGCTGGACCATCCTGTCACATTGGGAAGCAAATCCAGGTAAGTGTCCTTAGAAGTGCACTAGGGCACTGAGACTTGAATTATACAGTTTGCAACCGAGAGAAAAAAATAAGTACTTCCAAGAATTAAATAGCAATGGAAGAAAACCAACACAACAAAAAAATTTAAACAAGATAGGAAGAGCATTGGCTGTCCAATTCTAGGTTAATTCCCCCTTTTTTCAATCAAGTATGGTAAGAGTAATATTGCCATTCTGGAGATAACAATTTTATATTACTTACCCATCCTACCATTCTTTAACAATTTCAGCACTCAGCAACAAATCTCACAGTTTTGAAATAAAATATAATAAAACAAATTTGTTGCGAAAAGGCCACAAGTCTATTATCTTCCTATTGAAAAAGGTTCGAAGCAATGAAATTTGAAGACAATCATACCCTCATATACATTGCATGAAATAGCTAACTCTCAGTATACGAACTTGCACTCTCCTAGCTACAGCCAAGACTTCTCCATGACCAAAATGTGATCTATGCATCAACTCACACAAGACCATACACACACAAATACATATGCAAACAAAAGTTCAGAATATGGGCTGGCACGCAAATTAAACTACTTTTTTCTCATTGGAAATTTGCATAAAACTCTACAATCAACAAAGATTGTTAAAACATTACATCATCTAACAACTGTGCCCTGTAACTTTCAGATCGATTGTCGTAGCGCCTCAACAATTGAAGGTCAGTGCCTGAAATTAGTTTTGTCACCATATAAGTCTCCCATGGAATGTCCCTCTTAAGAACCTATAAAATGAAACAAACACTACTAAATCAAAAAATAATCATTTCACACAAAAAACCTCTACCAACATTAGTTCTATGAATATAGGTAAGCAGACAGTTACAAAATCATACATCCAGAGAAATTCCCAAAAGAAATGTACAAAAAATATATATACATATATTTTTCATTTGCATATTTTATGGTAGAAAAAGTGATCAGATCACCAACCTGCTCTGTAGTCAGTTCGGCTTGGTCCATTGATACTGAAACAACTCAAAGCAACACAAAATCAGGGTAAATTCAAACACCTTAAATATTCAAATTCATGAATCTAACTCAGGTTTATCTTCAATTTTTCACCAGACGACAAAATTCTCACCAACATAAAAAATCTGGAGGCAGAAAATTGAAATATAGAACTTTCGACTAACCAAATTCAGAAAAACTCAGATCAAGACCACAAATCTAAACCAATTTCAATTGCATATTACTGAAAACAGATGCAATTAAAATGTACGTTCGAATTGATACTTCCTGATTACAATGAATAAGCCATGAACGGGGAATTGAAGAGAAAAAATGGAGAATAATCATTGAAATTACAGTGAAACTAGTAGAGATTGAAGGATATAATTTAGACCGAGAGAAATGGCGATATCTGTCGTACCTGAATTTTTCTGTGTACAAGTCTGGTTATTACGTTGTGGAAGGAAAGAGCAGTGCTTGCGAGGAGCTTCTCTGAAAGAGATTTGTGATTGGAGAGCATAATTGGCTACATGTATCGTTGTTATGCTCTACTGATAACTCCTAATCTTAAGCGTACACGTGGACTAAAGGTAGACCATCACTCGGTTGATCAGACAGATACGTTGTCCAAGTTTATTTATTACTTGAAACAAACAAGAAGAGTCACATCTTTTCTTTTTCTTTTTTAATATATAAGGAAGATAAAAATTCATAAAAAAATTATTGGATATATGAAATTGTATTCTTAAAATTAAATATAAGGTACAATTAGATATAAAGTATGTAGACACTTTACTAAATAAAAAGAATGTTTTTTTATTATTTTTACTTTAAATTGTTTAAAGAATATATGCTCCTAATTTTTGTTTTTCTCATTAATTTATATACTTATATTATTATTTTTCTAGTCTTAGTAATACACTTATTTCTATAAAAATGAAATTATAGAAATATTTAAAATATTTATACAATTATAGAAATTATAGAAATATTTATACACTTATTATTATTTCTAATCTTAAGCGTACACGTGGACTAAAGGTAGACCATCACTCGGTTGATCAGACAGATACGTTGTCCAAGTTTATTTATTACTTGAAACAAACAAGAAGAGTCACATCTTTTCTTTTTCTTTTTTAATATATAAGGAAGATAAAAATTCATAAAAAAATTATTGGATATATGAAATTGTATTCTTAAAATTAAATATAAGGTACAATTAGATATAAAGTATGTAGACACTTTACTAAATAAAAAGAATGTTTTTTTATTATTTTTACTTTAAATTGTTTAAAGAATATATGCTCCTAATTTTTGTTTTTCTCATTAATTTATATACTTATATTATTATTTTTCTAGTCTTAGTAATACACTTATTTCTATAAAAATGAAATTATAGAAATATTTAAAATATTTATACAATTATAGAAATTATAGAAATATTTATACACTTATTATTATTTCACACGTGTTACATTGTAATTCATTCCTTACACTAAAAATTTTAAGATATATTTGAAAAATTATACTATAATACTATTATTCCAAACTACAACTCATTTTTTAATTTATTATTTTTATATGAAATTTATTACTTTTAAAAAATCCGAAATAAACTTTGAATTTTTAATATTCATGACATATAAAAGTAAGGAAAGGAAATTCAAAAGCTCTTAAAAAATAAAAATAGAAATAGAATGTTAAAATAGGAGAAGCTAGATTTTTAATACAAAGATATAAAAATATAAAATTTAAATAAATATTAAATTTTCAAACTTGAATAAATATCTCACAATAAGGTAATAATTCATTTTCTAAATTTTAAAAGCTACAAAATAGTAAATAGTAACATATACTAAAAAAAAAAAGTAAATAGTAACATGCAATGAAAAATTTAGTAAAATATCATAATCATTAATGAATATTAATAATTTGACGGTCAAATCAAGATAAAATATTTCAAATAAATAAAGATTTATTCAAAGAAAATACTAAATAAAAACAACAATCAAAAATTTAAATCTCTCTTTGTTTTAATTTTTTATATATATAGATAAATAGATAGGTATGAATTACTTCACTGGATCTTTTAAAAGCATAATTTGCTAAATTTAAATATATTATTTTTAATATTTTTAGAAATTTAAAAATCATTTTTTTAGCATTTTATTTTTATTTAATTTTATTTATATTATAAACATAAATTATATTTAATATTAATTCTTTTAAAGAATTTCTCAAAGAGAGGAAAGTGTCGGGCGAATTTCTAACCTAGTAATGAAATTTGAATACGAACTAGTAAAAGCTAAAAAATCTAAATTTTTTGAAAAGTTATAATATTACCAACGACTTTAAAATATATCATTTTATCAGAAAACTTTTAAAAATTTATTGCAATTATATCCGTTTATTATAACTAAATGGTTATACTCATCATTATTTTCCAAATTCCAACTACTCATCCCCAAATTTACTTTTGGTATAACTTTTCATTAATCTTTTTCCCAATTGTAAAAAAAAAAATGATAGTGACCAACTGGTACTTTGTAATGAGTCTTTAAAGGTTCGAATAAAATAATTTATGTTGAAGTGTCTCGATGAAATTGTAATGCTTTGAAAAGATTTTTCTTTTTAGAGCAAAAGAAAAAAACCGTATGAAATAGCTGAATGATAATTTTATATAGTATTTTTATAATATAAAGAAAAAAAAAAGCCCTATAAAATAGTTATTATTGTTTTTTTGGCTATATTGCCTTTAAAATTATGATTTTACTAACGTCATATTGCAATAATATATGCAATATTGATGAGTGATAAGTCAATTTTTAGACTAATCTTTATAATTTTTAATTATCTAATTAATCTAATTTTATAAATTAAAATACCTAATAAAATAGTTTTATAAATATAAAATGTTTAATATTTATAATTTTTTAATATTTTTTTATTAGTAAGAATTATATGAAAATTTGAATTTAAACCATAAAATCCCGGTAAGGTAAAAGCATAAAACTTTCGTTTTGCATTCATGGTGTAAACGTATCAATCACCAAGCTATGTATATGTGAGTTGTGCTAAATGTTTCAATTTGGAATTAATACAATTTTCATTGTATTGGTTTAAATTGTTCACAATGCTCATAAAATTTATTACGGTAAATTTTCTGCACGAGATATTTGAGACATTTTAATTCACTATAGTGAAAATTTTAGAATATACACAAAATATTTTAATTAACTATAGTAAAATTATGATAGATCCAAGTTAAATCAAATATAATTTATATATATATTTATTTATAGAGGGTACTAATGCAAACTAATTAAAATATTTGTATATCATAAAACTCTTGGATCAATGACAGTGAATTTTATTTTACGTATGAACATATTTATATCATAAATGTTTATTTATTTATTTACATTTTATTTGCGACGACTCTTGAGTTTTTTTTTTTTTATTCAAAAGCAAAATGAATTTAATATTTTCTTTATAGCAAAGACTTAAAAAAAAAAAATGTTAGAAAAGTACCCATCAAATTAGTATTTTCTAGTTTTTCCATTTTGTATATTATTTGATTTCTATTTTTACTTCTAATTAGTATAATTTAAAAAACATATTATTTTTGTCAGTTTTCAATTTTTAATCAGAACCCTAAAAATTAAATTAAGAAATATATTAAAATTATAGTTAAATGAATAAATAAATACTAATAATTTCAAAAACTAAGAGGTATTTAAATTATGATGCTGTGAAAAAAAATGAATTAATTTACGATAATCTAAGAACCGATTTATTGTTTTCTCTTAAATTAAATATTTGTCTCCTACTTACTGTAATTTACCGTTAGATTAAAAAAAAAAAAAAAAAAAAAAATTATATATAATTTTATTTATAAGAACGGGTACTAATGCAGACTAATTAAAAATTGTATATTCATAAAACTCTGTGGATCAAATGACAGTGAATTTATTTTTACGTATGACATAAAAATTGAAATCATAAATGTTTATTTTATTGTAACATGTTGTATTTGCGACGACTCCTTGGTTTTTTTTTTATCAAGAAGCAAAAATGAATAATATTTCTTTTATAGCAAAGACTTTAAAAAAAAATAAATGTTAGAAAAGTACCCACAAATTAGTATTTTCTAGTTTTTTCCATTGTATATTATTTGATTTCTTATTTTTACTTCTAATAGTATAATTTAAAAAAACATATTATTTGTCATTTTCAATTTTAATCAAGCAACCCTAAACATTAAATAAAGAAATTATTAATCAATTTAGTTAAATGAATAAATAAATACTATAATTTCAAAACAAAGAGTAATTTAAATTATGATGCTTGTAAAAAAAATGAATTAATTACGATAATCTAGAGAAACCGATTATTGTTTTCTCTTAAGATAAAATATTTGGTCTCCTTACTTACTTGTAATTTTACCGTTAGATTAAAAAAACAAAAAAAAAAAAAAAAAAAAAAAAAACTGTAATTTACCGTTTAGCAAGTTGCATGAGGAATGGATAGGGCATTGTGTTTATATCCTCCATTGTTTATACGCAAATAGTAGCTCCGTGGCGAAACACAGAGACAGTTCTTGAGAGAGAATCCTTCAATTTTTGTGTGGATGGAGATTAGCCCATCTCCATCCTCCAGAATCCCAAAATAAAACACGAAGAACCCATCAACGTATACTTATAAACGATGTCATTCTCTCTTCTCTCACTTCCTATTTCCTCTCTTCCTTCTCGAACCACCAAGTTTTTTGTATCTTCACCTCTCTTTGCTCCTGTTTTTTCTCTTTATCCTCATTCTTCTCTATATGGCTACAACATCACAAGGACCTCTCTATCTTGTCATTACAGACCAAGAGCAAGTTCTGGAGTTAATTCCATGGAAAGAAGCCTAGATGGGAATTTCAGGGTTTGTTCTTGCTCTAGTTCTGTTTGTGGTTTTGCTGCTGTTGGTGGTGGAGAGGGAGGAGAATTTGAAAGAACGAGAGAAGAAAATGTGAGAAGAGGACAAGTAGATGATGATGAGTGTGGTAGCGAAGACGAAGAAGAAGCAGAAGAAGAGGAGGAAGAGGAAGTAGAGATAGAGGCTTTAAGTCCAACTGCTGTTTTGCCTGAGAGATGGGATGTTCTTGGTCTTGGTCAAGCTATGGTAATCTTCTTCTTTCTTTTGTTTTTGGAAATTTTCCTGTTATATTGTTTTAAATATCTAATTTCTGTTTATTTGCTGAAAAAATAATTTATGGTTGAGAACGGGGAGAGAGATTTTAAATATACTATGTCCTGGGCTAATTGGTTTGCTCAATTATGTCTTTGCTCCATTTACTTATTAGGGTGGAAAGTGCTTAAACTATTCAATGAATTATTTGAGATTTCTTGCTGAATGCGAAAACGTAAGAAGATAAGAGGGGAAACAAATACTAATAATTTGGTGGTGGATTTTGGGTTTGATGTTATGTTTATTAGAATAGAGCTTGCTTTATTACAATATAAGTGGAGAATTTGCTGGTTCACTTTCCAAATTTCACTCTTATGATGAAATTTTTTTTAGTTTTTATTCGCTTGAGTTTTCACCCACGACTGAGGAACATGCTTTTATGTTTGGAAATCCTCTCTTTTGTATTCTTTTTGTGGCATTCTAGGGTTTGTAGCAGCTATTACCCTTTGAGCCCTTGATATATGCTGTAAATTGTGTCTGTTATTCTATCCCAAAAAGTTTTTGACATCTTACAATGTTGAGGTTTGATGGTTGCTTTAAGTTTCCTTTAGTATACTGCCTATCTGATTTTTTTAGTCGCTTTAAGTTTATTATGTTACGGAAAGATCAATTAATGCTGGTATTTCATCTCTCTGCTGGCATTTTTAGGTAGATTTTTCTGGCATGGTTGATGATGAATTTTTGGAGAGATTGGGATTAGAGAAGGGAACAAGGAAGATTGTGAACCATGAGGAGAGGGGTAAAGTTTTGCGAGCGATGGATGGTTGCAGCTATAAGGCAGCCGCTGGTGGATCTCTTTCAAACAGCCTAGTGGCCTTGGCAAGGCTCGGTTGCAAGTCCATTTCAGGACCTGCCTTAAATGTAGCTCTGGCAGGCAGTGTGGGGAGTGATCCATTAGGTGACTTCTACAGGTTAGGTGCAATTTTATCAGTTACTTTTTCTGTCACGTTGGTTGCATAAAAGCCCAAGCGATCGAGATTTTAGCTTTTGAGATTTTCTTCATTAGGTTCTTCAAGGAGAAAGGTCAATTATCTTGGATTACCTACCAATGATGTTATCCCATTTTAATTAAGGAGTAGTTATATTATTGAGTTGCATATTAATATCAATTGTGTATGCTTCTTATTAATTTACAACAGAAATAATATTGCATGCAGTATTCTTCATGACTTTCAGCCTATAGTTGTTGGTTCTTGGGACCTTGGGTTTTCAGAATTAAGTCATTCAAAGGAAAAATCCGAGATATTGGTGGTTAGTTTATCATTCATTTTCTTTTATATGCAATGATGGTTGAGTTGCCTTGAAGATGATAGTTATTCTCATGTAGCCTTTTAAATGGTTCGATAACCATTTTGGTATTGGCTCAGGATGTTTAGTTCAAAAGTTGGTCATTTACTTAAAAAAAAAAAAAAAAAAAAAAAAAAAAGTTTGGTCATTTACCTTAAAAAAAAAAAAAAAAAAAAAAAGAATTTCCGGCAAAACATGATGACCACTGAATAAATTGACCATTGGGCCTTCAAAAAATGTTCCCCATGGATTAGTTTTTTTTAAAGTCTTGGCATGCATCAATTTTTAAAGTGCCTTTATCTTACTACTTATACTTGTTCTCACACCCCCCCCCTCTTTCCCTTAACATATTTTGGGGTCTTATGGAAGTAACAATCTGGCCAGAAGCTTGGCACAACAGAGGTTTTTGGCCTGCCTTCTTGCTAAATCTTGGTCGCAAACATAACACAGAAGTCTATATTTTCTGTAAAGCCCCCCCCCCCCCCCCTCTTTCTCTTAACATTTTTGGGGTCTATTGGAAGTACAATCTGGCCAGAGCTGCACAACAGAGGTTGCCTGCCTTCTTGCTAAATCTTGTCGCACTCAACAAGAAGTCTTATTTTCTGTAAGAGAGCTTGCCTGATTTTTTGACCCTACAACTTCGCTGCTCCCAAGCACTTTGAGTTGAGGCAAGGAACCATTACGCCACTGGCCAGTTTCCACCTACTGTCCCTTTCAACATGGCATCTACCTGCAAGTCCATTTGGATCAGAATTTACCTGTTATTGATTGGTCTAGGAATGTTTCTGCATATTAAAATTTTTGGCGTCCGCTCATTATCTTATCTATCTTTGTAACTCAAGTTCTAAAGTTAGATCTTAATTGATAAATACCAATATATGATGTAAATTTGAACTATTTGCTGTTATGATCAGAGGAACTTAAACATCTTCTCTTTGGCACATTTTATAGGGCAAAATTACGGCGGGCAAATGTGAATTTTCTCTCTGCACCTCTCAAAGATGGAACGACAGGAACTGTGATAGTTCTCACCACTCCAGATGCTCAGAGAACCATGCTTGCATATCAGGTAACATCTGTTTTGGATGAAAAATAATTTTTATCAATCTTTTTACCATTTGATTTTTTGGAGATTTACAGGTTCTTTAGTTTGCCAAAAAGAACCTAGTTGATGTTATCTGTTTGACTTTCTTTCTTTTAGTGCAATCTATATAATATGCTTCCAGAAATTGTGTTGGCTGCTTGCAAGTTCCATCCTTTCATGTTTGCTAAATGTACTTTTACATCATTCAAAACTATGTTTTTTTGAAGGTTGACTTCCTTTTTGTAGTGAACTTGTCTCTGTTTGCTAAACTATGGAAAATTTACACAATTAACTGTAGGGCAGAGCAGAAATCAGTCAAACTAACCAAACCAAACTGAACTTGTTGATTTTGTTTCTTTTTTGAAGTTCAGTTCAATTTTGGTTTTAATAGAAAGGCCATTTTTTTTTGTTTGGTTCAGTTTCCATTATGTATTGAGAACAGAATGGAATTAAGCCAACAGCGAGTCAAAACAGAAACCTGAACTGGATTAATTTGGTTCAGTTCTGCACACATGGTTCGGCTTAGTTTTTATCTTAAAAACCTTTGGTTTCTTCAGTTTTAATAAAAATTTCGGTTTGGTTTTGACCAAACTGATGGTTTGCAAATCCTTAATTAATTGGTAACCATTCAAGACCAGGATAAGTTTTTGTTGGATTTCAAGATTCTCTTCATTTTACTAGTTTTTATCTTCACTTCAGTTTACAACATTTACAAGCTTGTATTGCATGTCGTTGCTTTGTGGCAGCATCATCTTTAAGGTCAAATATGACAATTAATTACTGGCTATATATTGGTATATTGAATATGTCCTTGAAAAATGAATGACTATGTGGTTTAAAATCAGATGATTCATGGACTATTGAAGTGTAAGGACATGTAGATTTCAAATTGGGAATATTAAATAACATTAATTTATCAAACATAAAGTTTGAGTATTATCTTTCTGATGTTCAAATTGCCACATTAACACTTTACCCTTACAATGTATTAATTTGCCCAGTCAAATTTGTAATGGATTGTATATCCTTTTCTATGTGAAGGTGAATTTATACTTATTTGCCTTAGCATTTGCTTTTGGTACATGAAATGGCTAATATAATCCTATTTTAGGGTACATCTTCAACTGTTAATTATGACCCATGCTTGGCTAGCGTAATTTCCAAGACAAACATATTGGTAATTGAAGGTTATTTGTTTGAACTTCCTGATACGATTAAAACAATTTCAAGAGCATGTCAAGAAGCACGCAGAAATGGTGTACTGATTGCAATCACAGCTTCAGATGTGTCCTGCATTGAGAGACACTATGATGATTTCTGGTAAGGCTGCTACAAGATTATTTTGACTATGGCCTAGCTTATTTGGTTTTTAATTTTATGCTTGTTTTATGGAGGAACTATAACTTGCACGAAAAAAGTTGCTGAATGAAAAAGTGTGATGCAAGTACTCTTGAAAAGTGACTATAAAAGAATCACCTTATTATCTTTTTACCACATTTGATAGAAGTTTGGTTTGATATTTTATTGAATTTTTATAGTGGAGAAATCCTTTGAAAGGTTTTTATTTCAAGGTTTCCCCGTTATCTCGACCAAAAGTAATGCACTATGAACTGTTCCTTTCTTCTGCCTGTAAATTATTCCTAGTTCTCACGAGGCTGACCAATAGTAGTGGTCTAGTCTTTCCCCTGCAAATTGTTCGTTTAGTCTGCCATAGAATTAGTGCCCTCCCTTTATCATTGGCCCTAGGGCTGAAGCCTAGGACTCGCCCCAAGATTCAATTGCTAAAGGGTGCATAGCCTCCATTGCTTTGTGAGATTTGGACAGTAATATTTGTACTTATTTCTGTTGTGAACTTGTTGGGAAAAATCTGTCCATTTTGTTGAGTTTTGAATTATATGGGGATGATGATGTCCTGTTTGACTTTATTAACTCTCTGGGCTACATAAGGACCTAGCAAAAATTCAAAAGTAATGCCATTTGCTGCAATCCTCGAGTTTATATGTTCAATTACTTAAAAAAAAAATTATGTGCTTTGTTTTGTGGCTATTGAACATATTGGACGTTTCAATTTAATCATGTGCCTTGTTAGGTTTGTATTTTTGGTGGAAGAAGACCTGAGTCTTAAAGTTGTTCTACCTTTGGGAATATCTGGAAATCTCTGTAAATGTTTTGGAGAACAACTTTACTGGATATTGTTGAGCTTCAAAAATTCTTTAGGATCCCATTTTTGTTTTCCTCTTCTTTCATAGAAGTAAATGTTAATTGTTGCTCAACCAACAATAAAAAATTGTTATTACAATCTATTTCCACTGCCTAAGCTTGTTCAAATCCACAATCTGTGGATATTATTAGCAATAGTAACTTGTCTGTGGTGTTCACTGCCTCAAACCCTAAAAAAGGAGAGGATCTGAGGATGGAGAGAGCATGTCTTCTATTTATTTCCCTTTTCTTCACAAGCATGATGAACCATTTTCACTCTTTCTAGATTCAGTATCAAACAAAAGTGACTTCTTTTTTATTCACTTGTGGTGCAGGGAAATCGTAGAGAACTATGCAGATGTCATATTTGCAAACAGTGATGAAGCAAGAGCTTTATGCGATTTTGCTCCAAAGGAAAGCACGATTTCAGCTGCAAGGTATCTGAGTCACTTTGTACCGCTAGTTTCTGTTACTGATGGGCCAAGAGGCTCCTACATTGGTGTAAAAGGAGAAGCTGTATATATCCCTCCTTCCCCATGTGTACCGGTGGATACATGTGGTGCTGGCGATGCATATGCATCTGGTATCTTGTACGGCATTTTACGCGGGGTATCAGATTTGAAAGGAATGGGGACACTAGCAGCAAGGATTGCAGCCACGGTTGTTGGGCAACAGGGTACCCGACTTAGAGTTCAGGATGCTATTAAGTTAGCAGAGTCATTCGCATTTAATCTGGAGACTTCCACCATTAGGTCAGATGTTGGTTCTGATCATATTTCCAGCTTATAGCATGGTGGGTCAAGCATTTAATGCTTGATTTCTCAATTCTTTTGGTAGATACATTCCTTTGTTAATAGCCTTGTGACCATGTACATTATTTTATCAATATATATACACTGATCATACAGGCAATGAATTTGCCAAGTTCACCCAAATTTTTCTGAACCAGTACTACAGTGTTTGTTTTGTAATACAGAAGTTGTTTATGGGTTGAGCCTGGATTTGAAATATGCCAAATTTGATGAATTCCTGACAAGCCTCTTTTCCTATAGAGCTTACATGTTCCTGTCCAAGAAGTTAGAAGAGTTTGTTTCAGGTGCTAGGGTTTGGTGCAATGGCAGATAGGGGCATTGTAGCCATTTTGACATTGAATTGGTAGTTGGATGCTATAAGCTACATTTAAGTTGTCTGGCAATTCATTCCTTGGCATAATTGGTAGTTGGCCTCACAGATTAATCACAAAGAAGCATATATTCTTACTAGGGCTAGGATATAGAGAGGGATGCAATTAGCCATAATTGTGCCAGCTTGGACCATCAAATTAAATTAGGATAGCTTTTGTTTTCTTTTTATTTTTATTTCATTTTTGGCTGTAAAGATTTAAAATTTTTAGTACAAGATTTTATATCTAAATGTGATTAAGATTTGTAGAAAAAAAAATGTACCAAAATGAATTTTATTTCTTAATTTATATAATTTCTTTATCATGTCAGTCCAATTATGGAAGCATTGACTTCTTCATTAGTTATCACTGTATTAAAATTTTCCAACTACCTCATTCATAAAAACCAACTGGGCAGTTAGGGAGGGTTAAATTGACTTTTATTTTGGGTCAAACAAAACTGATATCACTTCCAAAAAAATTACCAATGTACATTGCAAAAATAAAATAATAAAAAAAGAGAATTGCAGAACAAAATAATCAACCAGATAATAACAGAAAATTAATTAAATGTTTTCACTTTCAGCCTGAAAATACGCGTGTAAATTAAAAAAAAATTAATTATTAGTTTCATATCTACTTTAATAATTAAAATATATATTGGCTTGCAAAAGCACAAGTATTAAAAATGTGATAAATGGTCAAAAAGCTGTAGAAGAAAATGTTGGTCATGGCAAGTTGATGATGAAACAGAAAGTAGAAAAGATCACACCTTCAATGGTTAGCTTTATGTGAAATATTTTAGTGGTCAGAAATCAGAATGGTAGATCACTTAAAGGTGCTTCTAGATAATGCAACCATGATTTCCATGTTTTTTTGTTTCCTCACACGTGTGTCTCTAGTACATTATTTTCAAGTAATTATTCAATACATCTGGTGTATTATTATTATAATGTGTTCAATTTTTTAATTTCTTAAATATTTTAAATCACACTTTGATTCTTTAAAATTTTAAAATCTATAATTTATTTCCTAAACTTTTTTCATTATGAAAATCCAATACTTAGAATGATAATCTTACCGTTTTTGCTAATAGTAGAATAAATAATAAAATTACTAATTTTAATATAATCTCATTTACTATAAGTCATCCGATGAAATTTATGATTTATATAATTTTTATTTTGGTATGTATTTAAAATAAAAAAATAACCAATTTTGAATTTCTAATTTTTTTTATTAAGAAACAAACACTTCAATGACCTATTACAATATTCATTCAATTTAGTGAGTAGTATCTATGAAGGCATTTATCCCTTGTATTAGGACAATGTCAAAACGAAAGAATACCTTTATTGAAATTTCAATCTCCAAATATTATGGCATGGTGGTGGGACTTGGTCAAATGTGTCTGTATCTATATAAATATAATCCATGCCCCCAAAAAAAAAAAAAATCCTAAAATCCTTTTTTTTTTTTTTTTTTTTTTAGTCGGCTCTATCTACATGCAACCCAAAGAAAAAAACGAAAAATCCTAAAATACTTCTTTTTCTTTTTTTTTTTTTTTGCTCGTCTAACACATAATCTCTAAACTATTTGCAAAAGTAATAAAAAATGTCCTCTTAAAAAAAAAAGTATTATAACCCAGTATTTTAACAATTGTGCCTTTTTTTTTTTTTTTTTTTTTTGCTGTTAAAATAATTCTAAAACTATTTGCAAAAGTAATTATAATGTTCCTTTAAAAAAAAAAAGTAATTATAACCCAGGATTTGCAAAACATAAAAAATATGTGCCCAAGAAATCACAAATTGAAATTGTTTTTTGTGTATTTATGAAGATTTCAAAATATACGGTAAATGTGTTCAACAAGACTTCTTTTGAGTAGGCTGATTGACTGAATCGAAATAGATTGGTTCAATTTAATCTGAAGGTTTGCATATCTCTAATCAGAGTGCTTTTCTTTCTTTTTATATTTTCAAAATTTGAAAATCATAAAAATTATATTATTTATGTTCCCAACCAATAGCCATTACTTCAATTCCTTAATAGTTTATTGTAATTAGACAAATTAAGGGTTGACTCGAACTCGAAACTTTCTGCTCTTTACACTGGTGAGAAGATTAATTATACCATAACTGCTTAGCTGAAATAACATTATTATGGTCAATACCATCTTTTTTTTCTTTATAATTTGCACCACATGAAATTTTCATTGAATTAGACAACTAAAATTAATTTATATTTAGACTAAGAGTGTTATCTAGATGATATTTCTTTTTCATCATAACTGTGGGGAGATATAGCTTGGATAGTAGAGTGCTCGCTTAGAATGTGAGAGGTATGGAGATTGATACCTTATATCTCCATTTGAATTTACATATTGCAATTTTGTCTTTCAAAAAAAAAAGAAAAAGAAATTTTTTCGAAAAAAAATAACTTTAAATAAAAATTTCCTAAAACCCATTTTTTTTTATTAAATCTCAAATCAAAGTATCAAACTACTACTTTTGTAAAAGACATGTCATATTAAAATTTAAAGGGTACACAAATACCAAGTTGGTGATGTGGGTGACCTAACAAGGAGATTTAAGCTAATCAAAGATAAGCCAAGAAAAAAACAAAGGAAATGAAAATTCAATCCAATTTTCTTTTTGCATTAATGATTTATTTATGTGCCATGTCACCACCACATGATGAAAGGATTGGATGTTTGGGTCCTAATTGACATCATGGCTTAGGCAAAGTTCAGTAACAAGGAGAGTGGGGCCCCAAGCCTACCTAGCTTATCTCTTCAATGACCCAATGGTGGAGCAAGTGGACCATTAAAAACAAAAAAAAAAAAAAAAAAAAAAAAAAAACAAAATACCAAAAAAAACGACTCTCAAAAAGAGAAACAAAAAAAACAAAAGGAATACAAGTTCGTTTAGAAGGAAGTAAATTCCCTATTGGTATTGGAGAGGTCATATACTCTAGCATGCCAGTTTGTCTCATATTTAAGAAAAGTAAGCACGAGCGCAACAACTGTCGACTAACTGATTTGTGTGTGTTTAATTATAAGGCAGAACTCCATCGGATAGATAACCTATCGAAAAAAGATTTTAATTAGTGAGCAAACGCTCAAGTTATAGCGGGCTAACTTTCCGCCGACATTGCCCTATATCGGACATTACTCATTGATTAATTTTAAACCGGTTGCTAAGCGTTCTTTGCTACTAAGGCGTTGTTTGCTCCAACAATCTGTCTTCAAACCAGTAAAGCCATTCATCGTTCTGCATTAAGGTATTTTTCAATATCGTAACGGTTGAGGATTATTCCGCTTCTTCTACATTCCCAAACTAGCTTTTAAAAGGCACGCAAATAAACCAATTCAATTTTATTAACCAATTAATGGGGCGATAGGGCGGGAATACGTTCTATGTTGCGCTTTGTCCTATGACAACTTGTTTGCATGCTTCTGATATTCAATCTATCGTGACAGCTGTACCGTGTGTACCCGCCACATTAGGAATAATAATAATAAGCTTGGGCAACGTCAAAAACGACTATTATATTTAAGCCACTGCAATGATTTAATAGTTCGGTCAATGGGGACAATGCGAAATAGCTTCAACTAGAAAAAAAAAAAAAAAAAAAAAAAAAAAAAAAAAAAGGAATAAAGTTACAGTTATTAGAGAGAATCCATTGGTATGGAGATGACATATAGAGCATTTCTCTCTTAAAAATGGTAAGGACCCACTCAAATTTTGTATTTAGCTATGAATATATAAAAAATTTAAGAGGCAACTACTGTAAGGCTACCTGCCCCTTCCTAAAACATTACTCATTTATTTTACCTTTCTAGTTTCTACACTTTTGTCCACAATTTCTTAACATTAAAATCATGTTTGAAATAAGGTATTTATTCAATACGTAACGTTGAGATTATCTTTCTACATTTAAACTAGCTTTTAAAGCGTGAAATAAACCTAATTCAATTTATTAACATAATGCGATAGCGTACGTTACTTGTTTGCCTATAAATTTTTATGTTTCTGATATTCATATCTATGCGTGAGGAGTGTACGTGTGTTACCCCACATTAGGAATAATAATAATAACTGGAAGTCAAACATTAATTTAAGATGCAATTGATTTAATAGTTGGTCAATGGTAAATATTAATAGCTAACAATTAAATAAGTAAATAGTAATGAATAAAGATTGTAAGTACTAATGGTTCAATTATTATTTTATATAGTAATAAAAATATTATTTTATAAAACTATACTTGGAGAAATTTGAGAAATTCTTATGAACCTTAAACTTTGCAATTTTAGAACTCCTAATCATCTTAATTATCTCTTACTAGAGTCAATCAATTAGATGTAAAATCCAATTTATCTTTACAATATAAAACCTAATCAATTCAATAGAAAACCCATAACCAAATTTCAATTGCAAGCTTCAATTTTACCAATGTACAATTCCAACAAATTCTAAATCTAGGAATAGAATGTATCCTAAAGAATTATCTTCAAAATATATTAATTTAATGTGAAAAATCTCCTAAATATTTCATAGTAAGAAGGAAATACTCCCTCCGTCCCGTTTTATTTGCATGGTTTGACAAAACACGCATATTAATAAAGTCATTAAGATATTAATAAAATTCTTTTGAATTAATTTTGAAAATAATTTTGATATAAAACTAGCTGAATTTTGACTTTATATTCTAAAATGAAGTCTTCAAATTCTTCAATCTTGAATGTCTCCATTCAAGCACAAGTTTTATAATTTTCTTCAAAGACTTTTATGTTCTTTCTTTAAGCATAGGCCTTCTGAATTTTCTTCAAACACTTTGTATGTTTTCCCTTTCACTTCATCGA